CAGTTTTGATTAGCTTTTTAGAGTCTTGTTTTTAGCTAAAAACTTATTATTATTATTACGTTAATGTAAAACACAAGTACAAGGAAAAATTGCGGTATGATAATTACGCTAATGCCCATTTATACACAATTGTTGAAATGCCAACTGTCAGTACACTCAATTAGTTTTTACTTTTGCAACTGTAAGGCGTGTCACGCAATTGTAGCCAACTTAAAAAAAATAAAATATAACGTGACAACTGGCGATTAGTGTTTAGAAATTGATTAGTACTTGCATTAACGACTTTATAAAAGTCTGTAAAAGTTTATAAATAATTATAAATTAAAGCCAATTTATTGGTTGCCAGTCATCTGTTTTTATTATAAATTATAAATCATGATTTCTTTTGATTGAAACCGATTAAAATATTGTTGCAACGGTTGGTAAATAAGTCAAGGTCCAAGGTAATCAATTTTTATCAATGTTTCAATTAAAGGAGAAGAAATATTTATATCAGATAAAGTAATAAAAAGGAAAAAACATAAATGTGCAATTTGATGAGTGAATGCAGGCAACCCAAAATACATCATTAGTATTTATTTAGTGTTTGTTATCGGAACTTTCATGTATATTTTATTTGCTGAAATAAAAATGTGTTTGTTCAGTTGAAACGGCTGTTTAATTTAAGAGCTTTTTTGTGGCGATTTACTGACATAAGTTAAAATGATAATTTATGAAAGATTCAAGCATTTTCTTTGCCGTAACTATCTGAAATCGATCAGCTCAAGTTCAATCATAAATAAAATAACTCGCATTGCCAATAACAATAGAAAAGAAATCATCAGTTATTCTCGATGTCAAACAGGATTTGTCGATGATAAGAAAGCTCTTGGGCTGTTTGTCCATGTTCCACGTCTACTTATCGATAAAAATAAAACTTGAAACTTGAATTAGCATTAAAAACAGATACGACTGAAACTCATCAAACTCGATTTTTTCCGTAGATATATATTGTATTAATCAGAGCAGGAAAAAACACAACCGCTTTGTTTATCCTTAACGAATACGAAATTAATTTTAAAGATTTAAAAGCTAAAACCCGCCTCTGCAAAAAATGGAATACGTAATGAAAAAGATGTCTGGATGAAATTTTTCGCACGAACGCGAGTGGACTTCTAAGCGTCGATTTAAAAGCTTGAAATTTTTAACGATGAATTAATTCTATCGCCATGTTTTGGCTTTTTCATTTGAAATTTCAGTCGCGTCCCGAATTTCTTTTTAACTCAAAACTTAATTATACCCGATTTCGGCTCCATGCGACGCTCAAGGTCATCCTGTGACGCAACGACAAACCCTCGAAGAACGAAGGCATAAAGGAGCCGCTGATCTCGTATAAAAATGGTGGCACACTAAGTAATCGATAAATCCAGACTAATTCTGAGCTTATTGCTGCACTCCCCTCTGACTTCCCGTTTCATCCACGACAGGCGGCATTTATAGCCGCGTTTACATCTTCGGTTAACGGCATTTTTCTGCACCTCGAGACTCGTGTGTGGTCGGTAAAAAAACAAAGCCCTTTGTCGGGTAGCATTCAAATATTAATAGCTATATTCGAGACAGTAAAAAACTGTTAAACATAATACCGAGGGCACATTAATAAAGTGGGCAGTGAATCATTATGTGAGTTGTAGCGGCGGTAAATTGGACGATCGAAATAAAAAATACGAGGGGAAGTTTTTAATGGAGCTGTTGATTGGAATGATGAGCTCTATATAATTAATCGACGATTATGATAAAACTATCAAAGTCTTCTAATAATCGGTTTTAATAAATCAATTCGGTTGGGGTTAATGGAGAAGACGAGATGTTCTAGAGCGGAAAGAAACGATTACATCATTTATCACACTTGCATTCAAATTAATTTATTTGAATTCAATTATGCCTAAAAAAATAGAGATTTGTTACAATGTTTCTACAATCAGCTTCTTATCGGTTATGACAAATTAATTTATTTTGCGTGTAACGGCGGACAGAAAATTTAAACTCCCAACAAATATTTGCACTAATAGATAAATACTCTGTTTTGAAATCCAAATAAATTGAAAAATGACTTTTCAGCAACAATTGCGAGAAATATTTACACAGTAACGCAAATGAAATAAACCAGCAACTCAAAAAATGGGAGTTCGATCCCTAAACCGGTATTTGTTTTTTTATCAGATAATGATCCCAATAATGAAAAATACACTTGTGAAAAAAGATTATGCCCTCGTTCTATTTAGAATTAGGATTTGCTTTTATAACGTTGGTATTTGATACATTTTAGTGATTTTTGTGAATAAAATTACCACCTCGTAAAAAACTGTGTATCAATTAAATGTTAATAAACTGCGTTTTGAAAGACGACAATATCAAGATGGGTTTGAATCAATTTAATCATAAAAACCGAAACTTACAAAATTTTGTACTTAGATAGTCATATACAGCGTGCGCCAGAAAAAAATGCCATCTAAGGTAAGATACTCGAAACATGAAAAAAATGTTAAAAAATTCTATCTATAAAAATTTCGAGTTTAAATTTTGCACTTTGACTCTATTTATTTCTGTTGTAAAAATAATTTTCCAAGTTTTTTGTTACAGGCTATTAGGAGAGGAAACAAGGAAGCTGTATTCTAAATTGTAACTCTGTTTAATGTTATTTGTGGCTTTTATTGGGAAAATTTTTGTACCTGTACTCAATAATTACAAAAAACATACAAGATCATTAGTGTCATTAAATAGACATAAAAACATGTCAAATAACAAAAAATAAATGTCAAAAATTATTGAATTTTTTAAACATTTTTTCCATGTTTCTGGTACAGTTGGAGACAAAATACTTTGGTCGTCAGTTTTCTGACACTTTAATGTAATTCAAGCTTTAACGTTAAAATGAATGACAATTTCAAATTAATGACATCTATTATATTTTCCTATCAGAAATATGTGGATACATACAACTTGTCAACTATGATTGACAGTAGCTAAAAATAAGGTTAACAGTCCTAAAGCATGCTTTACAATTTAATGTCACTCAAGTGACATTGACGACCAAACTATTTTGTCTCTAACTGTATCTTACCTTACATATGGCATTTTTCTCTGGGGCGCGAGTTCTGACGCACCCTATATTTATTTAAAGGTGTAACAATTAATAATAAGTAAAACAACTCAAAAGGTGAAAGTTCGACTTTTTAATGGTGTCTAATATAATATTTAGAACAATATTGTCAATGTTTAACAATTAAAAAACTACTACTAAAATTTTAAACTTTATAGTTTGATGCAAGTCTAAAAATGGTATGATTCGATAATTCAAAGTGTGTAAATTTGACATCGGTCAATTATTTGTCCGCTTTTTAATGTATTATGATATTGGAAATAAAATAGTGATGAGTGTAGAGATAATGAATAAATTATAAAAGGTATAAAAGTTTTTTTATATAAATTGTATTTTCCCAATTTTCCGCGAAAAATTTACATAAATTCGAAACCGACTGATATCAGTTTAAATGCTTTTAATTTAAATAAAATTTATGATTGAGATAAAATTGAAATCGTTGATTGTTTTGCGTCCATTTTTTCTTATTACGCCGGTGTAGTTAATTTCAGTTTGTAGTTGGTGTAAAGTTCGTTAGTGCTAAACTAATCTTTCTGTTTACGCGTCCGCACTTTGTCAATAATAAACCGCTGGCAATAATACATCAGCATTCGTTATTAAAACGAAATAGCTGTTATTAACATTTATAAAGCTGTCGGCTGACCATTTCAGTTTAGTGAATCCGAATTCGCATTACATGAATGAATGACAAACCGAGCCATTAGCTATTATAGCTTATTCAACGTCCTGTGTATGTATAATGAAGAGGGTTGAGCGGCCGGACGGCGGCGATTGTGGCGTTCAGCGGTGGTTCACACCCGCAACCACCTATCTGCTCATTAGTCGAGTCTCGCGGTGCATTGCACACTCTATCAACATTAAATTAACCACCAGCCGCGTTGCTAAACACTGCACATTACTAAAACGCACCGAAATGCATACAGGGATGGACGAGAGACGAATAATTACCAACATTTCCATCAACATTTAATAGATTTTTCTATTGTGACTAAAACACCGTAATTAAAGAACGTTTTTTCAAAGTTTCTACCAGGTCAGTGACTGGTAAATATCAGAATAATCAAAACTAGATTTAAAAAGTGTGTAACTCGTTTCGATATTTAATCCCTATTCTGTCCTCGAGCGAATTACCTTAGACCTTTTATCCGGTTTATGTTTCCCCCTATTTGATTATAGATAACGCAGCTAATATCAGCCTTACAATAAAAGTGACTTTGATAAATCCATTTAATAATAAAGAAAGGCCACGTCGCGCAACCGCTTATCTAATGGTAGTTTTGCATTAGCGTCGTGATTAAATGGCCGTCGAGTAATTACCGTAAGTCAAAGCGTCGCCCTTTAAATCCGTCCTCGCAACTAATTAACCCACAGGGTCGCAGCCATCGACGACATCGATATTCTCGGCCCCTTTCTTAGTCGGTGGCAATCAGCGGCTGGTACTAAGTATGGCGTGCCATCTATATTTCCACCCCACAGAATGATGATCGCGTGCGAACACCATCGCTGTCTCGTGTACGAATTAAATAACGTTGCTCAAAGATTTACCGTCGACGCGCGAGGAGTCCATTACTTATGGAACAATGGTCACGAACGTCCATGATTCATGACGCCAACTGATGCGACTAGTGGTTTGCTCGAGAACTTACAAACTTCGGGAAAAAAACACAAATTGCTTTTTTATAGTCGGTACAGAAAATTCCAAGACTTAACTACGGGAAAATTACACCCAAGACGAAGGTATTAATAAATTACGAAAGTTAGACCGAATTAAATGTGGCGGATGCGCCGGGCGAGGCCAATAATATCTCCAACACTCATTTCAGTGCTGAAATGATCTTAATTAACAACAAATAAAACACAGTTTCAGTAAAATAAGCATTTATTGCTGACAACAAAAGTAAAACTACAACGTAAAATCCTGTTGAAATGAATAAAAAGTTCGCAGTTAAAAATTCCAAAATGAACAATTCTTCAAAAACCACCGCAGTTTTTCATCCGAATAATCCGATAAGCTTATAATCCCTTATCCCGTTCTATTCTCCATTCATCTCCTCGTCTTGTAGCTCTTCTTCCATTTACTATAAAACTGCGTAATTGATTCGATCGAAATCCCTGCCGACTGCGCCAACCCGACGTAACTAAACTCTTTATTTTCACCATTCGACAAAACGTTCTGATTTCCAATAAGCAAAGTAATTAGATTAGCGGCTCCTTTCTGTTGTTCGGCTAAATAATAACAACACTCAATGATTTGGATGTACATCGACATTTCTTTATCTCTCTTTTTCGGATATTTGATGAAAGGAATTGCGGCTCGTTCTTGGGGTCGTTGAGCCCGAAAAAATCGGTTTCCGCGATGAAATTGACTTTCCAACCAACGGATGGCGTCGCGAGCTTCAGATTGTTCGCGTTTTAAATCGTCCAAAGCTTGAACAACTAAAAAAAAATTTTGCTTACGTAGATTTCAAAGTTGTAATTTACCTGCAGATGGTATTAAAACGATAAATTTCCTGGACTGCACAAAATGTTTAACCATAAATGTATATTTAATTAAGGCGTCAGCGTCTAAAACTAGATAAGGTGAGAGCGAAGCCTTGCCTTTCACTCTATTTTCCAACGCTCGAACTTCAGAAGCCAACCACAACTGACCCATATGTTTCATTTTCATAAGTTGGTCCTTATCATCGAATTTATCACTGATTACGTGCCCACTTTCTCCCTCTTGCATTTCCTGAATATAAAAAAAATCTGATTAAGAATAGGAGTTTCACGTTTCAGGGTTGTCTTAATTAAACAGGGCTAGAATCCCGCCGCGAACTCTACAAACCGGAAGTGATGTAATTACGCGCATTTCGTGAAAATTGCCGTTGAAATCGCACCAGACTCATTTGCATCTATATGGAATCGAGCGCATTTCGCCGCATGAACAAGCTCCGGACGCATTCCGGAGTCGCATCCGCGTCGTTTCCGGACCGACGGCGCGGTAATGAGAGCGATATTTGTTCCCTAGACGATACTACGACCAAAGACATCAAATACGCCAACTTCTTAAACTCACTAAGATACGAAAGGGACTTGCCCGACAAGATAATGCCTTTATAGACGACCACGGAATGGCCTTTTCACACCTTGTTGAGGCTTAATGAATTTTTTGATAGCAAAATTAAAACAATCATTACTTTTTACACACAAAAACGTAACATCTAACAAAAAATTACATGAAATACACCTCACCATTGTGGTATAACAACTTTTCTTTGAACACAACAAAACCAATCAAAAAGAACATTTTAGATTTACGGTTGAATAAAAAAATCTTACTTTGAGAAATGTAGTTTCAAAGTTTTTCTTTAAAATTTCATTATACTAATGAAATATTAAATAGCGGATGCTGCTTACTTACCAAATCTTCGACGACCGAATTCGTAGCTTTATTCTCGTCGTTTTCGTCGCATTTACAAACAAAAACATTTTTCCGTTCGTCAAAAGTGATCCCGGTCTCCTCAATCCCGGTCAGGAACTTTCCAAACGCCATAAATTTTACGATCCTTGTGACGCTCTCTTCTTTCGTGTTCATTCCATGTTTATGTAAATAATTCCAATCCATATTCTTGTGAGCTTTCTCCAATATGTCAATACCTTTCAAAACAATATCTTCCGACAAGGGGATTTTCTCTTCGTTTTTTATGACGTTATTTACATCTAATTTAATACCGGATATTTTGGTACTTTTTATATTGATATTAATCAGGTTTAGCATGTTTGTTATTTGGCGTAGGAGACTTCGAGTACTCGTACCGCAAGATTTTATTATTTCGGTGTCTTGCATCAACCAGTCGTTTATGATTTTTATCGCTTGGAGGGAGCTTTGCTCTGTTATTATCTCGAGCATGTCATTCACGTCCATCCTTTTAAGTTTTTTTATTACATCGATTTTATCTTCAACGTTTTTATCATTGTTTTCGTCATTAACCGAATCGTCAGATTTTTTAACATCAGTTTCATCATCGGACGATTCGGCTAAAATATTCTCCGAATCAGACACAAACGAATCGGAGGAATCTGAATCAGAATCGATTCCATCATCATTTTCACCCTCACTATCATCTGATTCGATTTCGACAGGAAGTGCTTTCCTTCTACGTAACTGAGACGCGTTTCGCTTCTTTTTATTCTTCTTCAGTAGATCTTTAACGACCCCATTTTGCTCAATTTTAACCTCCACTTCCGGCAAGGGATAATTAAGAACACTTTCTTGTATATGATTGGTCACGTTTTGAACCAATTGGGAATAAATGGCAAGTGTAAAAGCAACAGCAGTTGAGACTTGGTGCTGATTTGTTTTCTGAAGTTTGGAAATACATAAAAGACAAATGACGATCATTTTAAATATCATATCGTTATTCAATTGTTCAGTTAAATCGGTTTCAACCGATTCGCTTCCGGTCGGCGACTCACAACTTCCGTTACTTGTCTTGATTTGTAAACACTCTTCTAAATCTTTGTAAGTTTGGTGGCACAAACTGTATACTTTGGCAACTTTTTTATTAAAGTACCAAATATCGATAAGGAGAAGGAAACGCGAGATAAATCTTTTAAGATGATCATCTTGTGTGTTTGTATCAGGGTTTGGTTCCATTGGGAGTTGTTCTAAATATTTCGAATTTTTATCGAAAAGACTGTGCAAATTGTTTGTTGTCCCGTCAAAAGAAACCGTGCACGCTAAACAACGCATGTAGTGATAAACCGCGTCTAAAAATTTATTCTGGTTCATTGCTAAAGTCCCCATTTGATTGTGGGGCATCCCATGATCGGATTTGAACGAAATCGCTTGAAGGTAATAGCGGAAAGCTAAAGTCGCTTCAATTTTGGGATTAATTTCAAGTTTATACCGATTCAAATCCCCTAAATAAATCAAACATTGATGTACAGAAAGATTCGCCCATTCTAGACACTCTGTTCTGACGTCACTCTTCCCGTATGTGCCCCCCATAGAAAAATCGATGACGTGAGTCAGATTCAAGTTAAATTCGCATTGCAATTTTGATATCATGTGGTGGTAAAACCCAATCCCCGAATTAATATGTGCCAGTATGTTGCAAATTTCGTTTTCGGTGTATTCCTTCTTTTTGAGTTTTTTCGCAGTGGAAACGACGTCGTAATGGCCTTTACGCCAAAGTAACTCTTCTCCTTTTTTTCCATACAAGACGGGATCGGAAAAAATTAACCGTTCGCAGTACTCGCAGAATTTGCGCCGTTGCATTTGCAGGTTTGGAGTGAATAAGTCGCTGATGGTTCGGGCACAGCTGCGAGCGTCATCTAAACGTTTTGCTTGCTCTGTTGTAGATCTAGGAAAGGGTGTGTTAGAGTTGGAAGGGTCAAGGGGCTATACCCACCTGTACAACTTTTTAGACTGCTCAAGGCCCTGCTTTTGGTGAATATCGGTCGAATTTTTAACTTTCTTCATTTCAACTCATGTTGTTACCCCGGTCAAGAATTGAACAAACTTCCTTTAAACTCGATTATTGACTCCAATTTCCGCACGGTTACACAATTCATTTTTCTATCATGTTTAATTTCACAAATATGTTTTGACACCATCACAATTTCTTATCAAACCGTCAAAATGTCCATTGCCACATGATTTTGAGAAATTTTACGGCTCCATCTAGCGACACTAAAATCTAGACGACTTAAAACAACTAATCTACTGAATTAATTTTATCAAAATTTCTCTATAGGTAATACTGTAATACACAATTTCTAAAACAATAAAATTTTCTTGCAATAACAAAATGATAAATGCAATATTGTGTAATTTCCAAATTACGTCAATACAGAAAACTGTAACTAATTCAACAGATGTCGCGCCAACAGCCAGCTGTTTGTCAAATTGTCAATAAAAATGGCTATGGCTGCGGCCACTGCGAAAAAGCAAGATTTGCCCCCAGCAGGGGGCTACAGGCCCATAAACTTCAAGAGAGTTCCCGCAAAATCATATTTCAGCGGTAGAGTATTACGGTTTTTGTGCCATTTGAATATTACACACTTTTTATTATTATGTAATGACTTAACCCCACTTTTAGGTTGGGCCCTTTTTGGTGGCTATATCGGCATGACCGCAGTCGCAAGTTATCTTTACTACTTGAATTGCAAACAAGTACAAACTGATGATATTGAAATGAGGTCTGGTCGCTTCGCTATTTTCCCCTTGTTGCTCGCAGAACGAGACCGCGAGTATTTGAAGCAGCTCAGGCGAAATCGGGACGAGGAGGCTAAATTAATGGCAAATGTCGAAGGATGGGAAGTTGGCACATATTATGGAGAGCCATTGTACAAATCCTTTGATAAGGACAAGTTGATTGAGCCCATGATGCAGGGTTATTATGTGCACGCACCTATGAAAAGCTTCAAAGATAGGGCTTTTATAAGACAGTGGTCCTAAGCCGTTGTTGCGTTGTAGTAAAAACAGGTCTTATTTCATTTTTTGTTAATATATTTGGGAAAACGCATTTTTACTGCCTGATTTCTTTGATCCTTATGATCCTAACAATGCTATCTTAATTAATTTGCAGTGCGCCAAGCCTATCCTCAATACAATCAATATTCGAGTTTTTGTACTGGGTTTGAATTTCATTCAATGTCCACTCTGATAGTTTCTGTGCTTCTTTCTTTTTCTGGGATGAACATTTTGGTGAAGTGGCAATAGCAGTAGTTGCCTAAAAATTGAAATTATTTAAATCCTTTCAAAGTTTTCACAACTTACAACATAGAGGCCATAAAGGGCCCTCATGTTTTTAGGGTTCAATTTGATAGCTTGGCAGTAATAAGAACGGGCTAATTCAATGTTTTCCAATCCACCTTGGGTGTATTTTATATCAGCGTAACGTTGATGCAATAAGTGGTTATGGGGGTTGTGTAAAATTAATTCTTCAACGCAAAAAGCGGCCTTTTGAAAATCCTGCTCAGTTATGTAAAGTTCACTTAGCTCTTGCCAAGCTTCACCATCAGCCATAAAGCTACAAAAAATATTAATCATATTTTTTTTTTTTTGCATAGTTACAATAGGAATACATTTTCAGATACTCCGTCAGTTCTTTGATGGCCTCAACGGTTTTACCTTGAGCTTTCAGAATTGAAATTTTACGTTTCTTGGCGCCACTATTAGTCTCGTCTACTTTGATTATATCATCCAAGATCTTAATAGCCTCTTCATACTTTTCCTGTGCTTCATAAAACATGGCCTCATATTTTCTCACTCTTAGACTGTTAGGAAAATCTTTTTGTAATTCTTTGAGACATTTTTTAGCTATATTGAATTCGCTACAGTCTAGAGCAGCTATGCAAACTTGCTCTAAAATGAGAGCTTCTGAAAAGTATTGATTTTAGCTTAATAGGTGATAGGACTGGTAGGTAATGAAAATTACTTTCTTTTCCCAACTTCTGAACATTTGATTGGAGTTCATTGATCCAATATTCTACAACTTTGCGACTTTTACGATCGCTGTTTTCTCGCCACAGCCGCAATTTTTCGAGAATACCTACACATTTGCAACATTGTTAGATCTTGATTTTCAGATACGGTTATACCTACTGCTTAAGTTTGCCATTGTGCTGGAAATAGTTCAGTTACGATTAATCCGTTAGCATTTCTCAATGAATCATTGATCAATTATATCTTAATTAATCGAAACTTTTTAACCCACGTCACTTTTTTTTTAATTAATTTGACAGTCAATGTTGGCAAGCGCTCAGTGCTTTTATCAAAAATTCAAAAGTCCCTAGTTCTTTGTCAATCATGATGGCTGACTGAAGTTTCTTGTTTTACTGATTAAAAATCTCAAAAATCTTTAATTTCTGGAAAATTGGTGTATCTGCCACCTCCTCAAAATGAAATTTTAATCAGATAAAAGGTAAGTTGTTTGTTACATCAGTCACCTGTCGCGAAATAGCTCAAAACGGGTTCTTATGTTTTGTATTATTTTTGTTTATTCTCTAAAAAATATCAGTAATTTCATTGTCGTCATAAAATCCAACAACGTAACATGTTTTTTATGTTTGCCAAAGGTTTAAATCGCTTTATCTCCTCTGAATTTGCCGTTGTTGAATTCTCATCATTGATTTTGTTATAACAGATCAATAACCTAGTCAGAGGAGTGTACAGCTGAGCAACTTGTGTGAATTCCAATCAGTTGCAATAAAAATGGATACGAGCAACATATCCTGTCCTGTTTGTACATTATATCTCAGACCAGGCATAACCCTAAAACACCACTTGAGCAGCCATCCCAAACAGAAAGTGATTGAAGCTCTGGTCCGACTATCTGAGACAGGAGATGTGGAAAAAATCGGGAATTCGTCAACCCACTCCGACTGTGGCACTTCCACCACTCACACGGCTCTAGTAAACCAAACCTGGAATCAGGGCAACTTGGTCAACATGCCCCCCAACATGCCTCCCCTGCAAGGCAACCACGTCTTCATTTACCAACAAAGCATGAGCAGCACGACTGCTCCGTCACAAAATGTACCATCGCAATACGTCATTCCCACAATTTTAAACCCACAGATGATGCCCTACATATACCAACAGCAGTTAATCATGTCAAGTGGCTCCTGTGTTCCTCCCATGCGTACTCTTCCGTTTGAATTACCGTCGACGTCGTCGCAGGAGTGCAACATCACGGAAGCGCCCGAGGACGAAAGGGAATCACTAAAGAAAATCGAGGAAATTGACGAAGCTGAAGATGCGAGTGAAACGTTGAGCGATTCCATCAAAATCGACTGTGATATGCAGGAACAAATCAACAACAGTTTGGATTTGAACGTTTACGAAATAGGGGAGGAAGGTTTCAACGCACAAGATGGGCCCCAAAGCCCCAGTTCCGAAAGTGGCGAGTTGAATAAAGCTTGTCAGACGCAAAATAACTTGACGCCGGAAGAGGAAGTTTCGGAAGAGACTGAACCGAAACAAACCGATTCCGAGTTTTATTTCGTAAACGGGAATGAAAATCAGAGTTATACTTCGGTGGAATTGGGTCAGAATCCAATTTATACGGCTTCGAATATTTTGCAGTCTGATCAGCTAGATTTTGTTGATATGAACGGAGTGCAGATGGTAATTAATGATATAAATGAGTTTGCGGGCAATCAGATTATATCTCAGGTTGAAAATTTTGAAGGTATCGCTCCTGACCGATCGGGAGTTTTAATGACGATTGGTGGAATGGTTGATAGTTCAAAAGATGATTTTTTGGATCAGAGAGACGCGGAAGAGAGTATGTCTCGCGAGAGCTCAAACGTTAATATTCGAGCCGATGAACGGATGCCTCCGAGGGGCGAATTGTCGGGCCAGGAAAGTCTCGGAGGCTCCAGTGATATCACCTGGAATCGGGTGCAATATAACGAAGGCAGCTCAGGGATGTCCACCTCGTACGACCTCCTAACACGCGAAAACTGGGAAGGTTCCGATAGTTCGGACGTCGAAGTTCCGCCTCTTCAAAGCCGGATCCCTTCCCACGTGACTTATCCGGAAGAAGACGACGATAATCCGACTATTGTCAGTTTCACCGGACCTCCTTTAAACTTCAAATGTTCACAGTGTGACCAAGCTTTCAGTTGTCTAAGAGAGAGGAAAGATCACGAGGCTGAGAAACATCCCGAAAAACGCAAACTAAATCGAATCGGCGGCGAATTAGACAAAAAGAAAGTCAAAAAGCTCGTCGTTAAACTAAAATCCGAGAAACCCGAAAGCGAGAATAACTTCGTCTTTACGAATAAATTAAAAATGGAGACTCCAACCGAAACGGAAGTACCGGAAGCACAAATTGAAGAACCTATCACAACCACTCCTGAGATTCCGACCGAATTGAAGTCTGTGTGTCCGATTTGCGGTTGCGTACTAATGAATGCTAAAGCACTGAAAGAGCATAAAATGAGCGTCCATAATATCACAGCACTGTCGCGACATAAATGTATGACTTGTGGTGAATTGTTTCCGAATGATTACAAGTTTTCGCAACATTTACGAATACATCCACTCGAATGTAAAATCTGCGGTCGGTTGTTCTACCGGAGACAAAACATCCAGCTTCATATGAGGCGCCACTTGGGCATAAAACCTTTCAAATGTGACGTATGCCAGAAGGCATTTCTCACGAAACAAAAATTGTTTGAACATAGGAACATCCATACGGGGGAAGCTCCGATTAAGTGTCCTCTATGTGACGAAACGTTCCGTCGACATTCAAACCTAGTCCAACACCGGAACAGACACCACCTCAACATTAAGAAGAAAGTTAAAGATTATATCTGTTTCTGTAAGGAGGTTTTCCATTCGAAAAAAAAACTAGCCTGGCATAAGGAAATCCACGATGCCAAACCGAAATCTTGTACGCATTGTAGCGAGAAATTCATCCATATGTCAAGCTTGACGCGCCATATGCGACGAGCCCATAATGACCGCTTCCTCCCAAACGGTCATAAAAAGCCCGAAAATGTGGAATGTCCGATTTGCAAGGGGGTTTACTTGAAGTCGTCTCTCGACGTCCATATACGTAACCACAGCGGCCAAAGACCGTACGCGTGTCTCATTTGCAATAAGGATTTCACAACGAAATGGAACCTCAAGTTGCACAAATGGACGCACGCGTCACGCGTGTCCAAACCGTTCAAATGCGACCAATGCAAAGGTGCTTTCATACGCGAGTCCGATTATATCGCTCATATGAACTCGCATAAGAGCATAAGGCCGTATACTTGTAACCACTGCGGGGCGCAATTCATCCGCAAATATAACTGCCAAAGGCATGTGAAAGAGCACGAGAATGAGAAAATGTTCAACTGCAAAGTGTGTGGAAAGTCGTTCCATCGGTCGTACTACTTGAAGGATCACATGAGGATCCATAGCGGACTCAGGCCGTATTCATGCCACATTTGCGGCAAGACTTCGACCACAAAGTCCAACCATAACAAGCACGTGCAGATACACCATGCTAGAGAACCGGTCAGTACTGAGAACTAAATTGTACAATTGGATAACCTGTGATTATTTTCGTGGAACTATCACATGGGTGATAGTCGATTATGTATTATACAAGTAATCGAAAAGTATACTTTTTTAAGTAATTTTATTTTAGCTAATTTTAATTTTTATCTTTCTGATTTTAAGGACGGCTAGATTAAAGACTGTATTTATTTTATTCATTTTAATGTACTTTTAGATTTATTGGTGGACTCAAATTTTTAAACAATGTATAAAAAAGTCACTTATGTACAGAATTTTTATTTTCATTTTTAAAAGTGTGCAATTACATTTTTTGTATTGGAAAATACAAATAAAACAAACATTTGTAAACGTTTTATTTATTCATTCAAATCCTCAAAAAAACTCAAAAGTTGAGTAACATTTCTTTCATATTCGGGGGAAACGTTCAACGATTTCACATTTTCTCTGATTGATGTCGGGTCGTACATTATTATAGTTTTGAAGAAGAATAATGCAGAATTCTAAAAAAAGTATACAACTCGAGGGCCAAATCCTCATTTTTTTACCAACCTGTAGAGGAATTAGTTGCTTTTCACTGACATATTTAACGACAACATCAAAGGCTTTCTCAATGTCCTGCTGCGACATGTCCAAACACGTCACAATTTGAGCCAAATTCTCCAAAATCGTCACTTGTAATTTATAGTTTTGACTATAACGATAGGCCGACCCCTTATCTTTTAAATAACTCTCCGTTGAAAGTTTATCAAGGATTGCCAAAATATTTGGTAAAACTTCCCTAAAATTCGAATTAAAGAATTTTTTTTGATAAACTAAATATTACTTTGCCGTGCGTGATCGAATAAATTCTTTTGATAATTTCGCAAGAACGACAAGCAGTTGGAAACTATAATTGATGATTAATGGTTCATTAAAATCCTTAAATCTATCGACTAAAGGCCCCCAAATCTGGTGCACGATTGGTAACAACTCGTCTTCCCAGTCTTTCAATACAATTACACCATTCTTTAAAATATCCAAAACAAGTAATTGGCGAGGTTGGTTTTTAGACGGAAGAAAATGTAAACATCGAGTCAAAAGCGATCTTGTTAGTTTGATGTGAAGCGGTGGTTCGGGTTTTTTATACTCCTCTAAAAAAATATCATTTTTTAACATGTAACATGGGCATTACGCACCTGGTTGATCATTTATTTCATCCTCCAACTCCTTCTTGCTTTTCTCCATGTCTTCCTTGTACATTTCTTCCGCTGTTTTATTCATCATTTCGTCGGAAAAATCCTCAATAGGTGCTTCCAAATTCGAAATTTGAAAATCTTCAATTTCATCCTGTTTTTGTTTCTTTGTCTTGAAAGGTTCTTCGATTAATTCAATATTTAGCCACCGGTGTAAGCCCATTATGAACATTTTGAAAACGTGTAAATACGAATTTAAATTTGTCCGATGACTGTCATAAGTGTGATACAACAACTGGAATCTTTTAATTGGTGCAGGTGGTAACAATTTTTTATTTATACCTCTTGAATAACATCACAGGTAGAAATTAAAACTTCTTGAGTACTGTATCTTATCACGACTCCTAGTACTTCCAACCCTCCTTTATCACCTTTCGCTTTATTTAATTTACGCTCAATATGAAATGAAAAATAATCGATGTTGTTATTGATTAAATTGGTTATAGTCGAGTATTGACAGGCTGTACTTATGTTTGTAAGGGCTGAACAACCGGCAGTTCGGATAATCGGGTGAGAACTTCCTAAAATGATGTTTTCAAAACCGGAAAAACTATTTTCCAACACTCACCGGCTCTTTCTAACACTAGAAACAAGGTCTTTAATAAAAATTGTTGAAACTCTTTCCCTAACGTTAGGGCGATTTTCCCAATCCCTTCGACCAAAAGACAAACTTGGATTATATTATTTTGTACATCACTTAAAGTATGTTCGTATCCATACTCATCTACCATTACCGACAAAGGTAAGTACCAATTATCACCATCAGTGTATGTACTGATTACATTTTTAAACAAAGTTAAATTATTTTGAATTCCTATATCTACAGTCCAGAGTACGATTAATTAACAGAGTTTCATTTTTCACGACTTACCTGTTACCACTTCATTTAGTAAAAAAATTGCTTCTTTTCTTTGTTCTTCATTGGCTCCTATAACATCTAGTAGAAAATCGGTTACAATAAAGGAGGCACCGTATTTGGCCAAAAGTCGACAAACAGTTCCAATTTTGTCTAAGATTTCGGTTTCTTTAAAGTGTCGGAATTTTTTCCAAGACGTTTTTAAGTCTTGACTTAACTCATAGTCTAATAAAGCCATTTGAGTAAAAAAAGGAGCAGAAATTTGCTATACTCACCTGGAGTTGTATACTCTTCTAAAACACTTATACCACTTTTGTCAAATTCCGAAATGTGGATGAGAGTTGTCAAAAGTCGGTTTAAGTGAACGGAAGAGTAAAGTACTCGGGTCAAACTGTGTTTACCAAAAAGAGTTATGTAACCAATTAGGGAATTCAAAGCGACAATTTGTACCCTTTCATCTGAAAAAAAAAGAATCAATTTTCTTTTTCCACATTATTTAGCACCGACCTATCCCGTTAAATTTTCGTGGAATACTGGCAACAACACTGTAAAAGCTTTCTTCCAAATTATCAAGTAGTGATTTAAATTCGCTTCTTGTAAGTTTGATTGAGAGGTCTTCTAAAATTTGTTTACTTCTCTGTGCAATTGCATCATCACTATCTTCCGACAAAATAATAATAATATCGATTAAATGAGTGATTGATGTCGGCATAGTGTGGACACAGTTTTCCAAAAGCAGGGCTGCCATTTCTGCAAGTTCTAATCTGACACTAAGATGAGAATGATGAGTTAGTTTCGCGAATTCGACAATTATCATTTGTAATTTCTTATCAGTGTTTTTATACCACTGAGGAGACCGTTCTGTAGTTTTAAGATACTCCTCTAACTCCGCTTCATTTTCCCATTTTTTACTCTGAACCGTGTTGGTGTCTGTAATTCCCCCGAGATCAATTTTCCGGTCATGCGCATTGTAGTCTTGCATTAACAAAGTCACGATCCTTCCCCAAGCTTTCAGTGCAACAGTAGGGATTTTGTGGCCAAATTTCTCATCAATTAGCGCAACTGATTTAAGCTGAGTTGCAACTCCTGGCAGAAAAAAAAGAAAAACATCTGCGATTTGGTTCCTCATGACTATGTCGTCGAAATCGTTATCGTCCAAAACACGTGCGATTACCATTATGCAATTTATAGCTGCAATCCTAAAGTGGGCGAGCTTAGTAAAGCCAGAAGGCGGGGCTTGGGTGACTTACCTCAAAGCTTTAAATTGCTCAATTTTGGCGATTTCTAACATAACGTAAATCATTTGACACAGTTTTGGAGCATTTTGCTTCACGTACAATTCTTCAATTACTGATGAACTTAAATTTTTGGATAAAGATGTCATACATTGCACTATACTTAATTTGTATTCTTCACTTATGTTTAAAACTGGGAAAAAAATGCATTCATACAGAAATCCTAAAGTTAAATCTTACCTCTATGATGCTTGCTATCGTAAATTTCAAATAAAAGGAATCCGTAAATGTTGAAAAACAGGGGCACTTTTTCGATCCAAATTTTGTCAAAAATAGCCCTAAAAGTGTCCACAATTTCTTGCTTTTCTTTCTCTTTATAACTAAAACAATCAAGTCAGAAAAAATTGAATTTGGCTAAATTTAACTATACTTGGCGCTAGACTCTGAAATACTTTTAAGTATAGGAAAAAACACAGGAAATATAATAGGTTCCAAAGTTTTTACAATTGTAGGACTAGCGCTGTTTAAGACAATTCGCAATTCTTTTACACTATCAATGTCCCTCTGGTTTTGAAAAATTCGCGCACAAATTAACTTAATTGTTTTTAAATGCCCAACACTCATTTTGAAATTCCCACGTTGCACAATCAGCGCTACCAACGTAAAGTTTGTTTGTATCGAAGTAACCTGTAAGCTATCATGTTTTTATAAAGAAACAACGGTTTATTAAGAATAAAAACACTTACGGAATAACTTTCCACCGATTTCAGGTAAGTCTGAGTATAAAAAATGCTCAAATCACCTTCAGATATTGATAAAATCGCGTTTTTGTGTCTCGGCTGTCATCATGTATTGTTGCTTATACTCATGTGTGGCGGTAAATTTGAAATACTAGTTTTCTAAAAATTGTATTAAAGCAAAAAATTAGATTTTTGTACAAATAACCAAAATTAATTGTTTTCTGGTCAACAATGGACTAATTTTGGTGTTTCACGTGATGTTAGTCATGGAATTAATTGTTTTGGTGGTTAGTGCTTTGTTGCTATAGTGATCAATAGTGGAGGCAAGTTCAAACGTACACACGTGGTACATTGTGTATACTTGGTTGCATACACCACGATTAATTTTTGAAAAAATAATTTTTTTATTGATACAACCCCAATTGAGAGAATGTAATAACACCCTTGATGTAAAATTTTAAGTTTATTTTTTTGTTGTACGTAAAATTTTGGCAAAAAATTAGTCTGATTAATTAGGCGCCTGCGGGGCACTTCCTATCACAATAGCCGCAATTGTTAGATAAGCACTCTATATATTAAAAGACTACCTCAATAGCCCGAACGTGATTCTTCGTTCGCCGAATGGAAGGGGTACTCGGAACCAAGGGGCATAGTACAACATGTAGCTTATAAGAGACCTGTGTCTCGTCACTGCTCGTTTATTAAATTAATGACTTGACAGTGGCACACATCTTAAGTGTTTGAAATTGAATTAAGTGTCTGTGCAAGATGCCCACTTGTACTTCGGAAAGTTTATCACGAGTGTGGCCAAGCAATGAAAGCATCCATGCCGGCAGCATCAGCAGTAGTTCAGGAATCCAGAGTCCCAGCTCGCCTAATTCCCTATCCCCGATTTCAACGTCACCGGATAACACTTTAAGGAGAAGAAGGATAAGACGTGCAGCGTCCGTGGGGACTGTTATCCAGGAACCTTTCGTAATACGATCGGATTGCCGAGATTCCCGGAGTCAGAGTCCTGTCTTGGATCAGAGTGAAGTAGAGGATGATTCTTTTTCCGTCCTCGCGGATATCATCGGATGGTACCCTTGTTTTCTATTGAGGATAGCTAAAGCTGTGGTTTTGGCCATTTTGCCTCGGACTTGGAGACAACTGATTTTTGCTCTGCCCATGTTGTGGATCTCAATGTGGGTCTGGTTTTTCACGCAATTAATCAACTTACCATTGAACATTATCAAACTGATGCTCTCTATAGTCTTATCACCCAGTAGTGAAAGGACTAGGAAGAAACGTACAGTTTTGATCAGTGGAGGAAGCACAATTCAGGCTCTTCATTTGGCCCGAAATTTCTACTCGGCTGGTGCTCGAGTCGTAGTTTGTGAAATTGACGGTTTATTCGCCTTGACTCGCTTTTCAACCGCTGTGAGCCGATTTTACACCGTCCCTAAACCCACAAGTGACCAACAACAAAACTACGTGAGGGCCCTTTGCGAAATCGTGGATAAGGAACAAGCAGTGTACTATATCCCCGTCAGTTCGACAACCTCAGCTTACTTCGATGCGGTCGCTAAACCGCATTTGGAACTCCTGGGATGCACTTGTTTCTGTCCCGGGATCAAAGAAGTCTGGGCTTTGGACGACACTTTGGAAGTCCTCAAACGATGCCAAAAATACTCAATCCCAACTCCCACTTATCACGCAATCACGTCAAAAGACGACGTTTCTCAGTTGTACGACACGGGGGCTATTCGGATGGGGCGGTACGTTATGACAACTGCCGGCCCAAGTGGCCTCCGCGAACGCTCAAAAATCATACTCCCGGTCTCGCGAACCGACTTGAAACTCCCAAATGACATAAGCGAGCAACGGCCTTGGGTGGTGGTCCAGGATGTCGAAGGGGACCACTACTTGACTTGCACCACTGTCAAGCAATCCCAAGTCATCGCTAACGTGACTTGCCGCATGGATAAGACCAGCAACGGACTTGTTCCAATTGAAAACAAGGAAATCAACGCCTGGCTTACGATTTTCTTTAGCAAATTGAACCTTCTGAGACCCATAACCGGTCATGTCAGCTTCAGATTCGTCATTCCGAAAGACAGTACGACTATTATTCCCTTGAGTAGCCGCGTTGGGGTCTCACTGCCTTATATTTGTTACACTAATGTCCACCCAAGACTGGTTTGGAAGCCTTGCAAACACTTCAGTCGGCAAAACTCTGGTCCTTTAGTCAGCGAAAATGGCCGATATTGGATGGGGGAGACCGTCATGACGACGATCAGAAACCCGAATCTTGAAGCCGTGACTAGGTTGATTGGGACTGTTATTGATAAAAGGGAAGCGCTGTTTGCCATTTGGGACCCTTTGCCGTATTGTGCCTACTATCATATGTTATTACCCTTCAAAAACATGTTGGGGTTCATGCAGAGGAGACAGGATAGTTTTCCCAGGCCGATGACTAATCCGATCCGTTAATATGTAGTTTCATCTCATTAGGAGAGAGAAAACAGCCTGAGTATTTTGTGTGTATGGACTGTGCATTATTTATTATGGTTGCATTTATTTATAGATAATGTGCCATTCGCTTGTATTTTTTTTTAATTTGTACAAATATTGTTACTGTATATATTGTGTATATATAGCTAGTATGTTACATTAACTCGATAGGTACCACGTGGCTAGTGTAGTACCAAGTTTTGTAATTTTGTGGTTTTTATTTTAATAAAAATATCAAATGAAATTATTTTTTTAATAAGGGATTACGAGGGTTTATTAGGGGAAAAAAATCATTGTTTCTCTGTCACGAGATCACGCGACCGACTTGGAGATATCTCGGATTGTCGACAATAAATCCTAAGAATTTCGAAGAGCAATTGACATGAATTTACACTCGAAAAATCCGATAAAGCGTGTTTTGCAATTTATAATCAGATGGACGGATTTTGTCAGATACGGCGTCTAATTAGGGTTTTATTTCAGACTGATGATAATTTTCTGATTGATGATAATTTAACGGCGCTACACAACGACGACTGCTCTTACTGACCCATGCAGATATGGACTATGAGCTGCAGGTCGAAGCATCCAACTCAGATTATTGTAATCTGTAGTGAATCGGGGTCAGACATGATTCCCCCAACACTCTTTACCACCTGAACGGTTTGTATTTTTCATCCCTTATCAATTCTGCGCGAATGCCGACCCGAATCATGCAATTAGGGATATCTGTTGAAAGAATTATTAATTGCAGAGATATTAGAGTGTTGAGACACACAATAATTAATTTTTCTCTGCATGTGTTTCTGTAATTAATCGATTCGATTGAACCTTACCCTTTTCTCACATTTCTCAATCTCTGACAACTGAAAAATGTAGTCATAATTTGAGAAAATCAATTTCGAGAAATACAAATTCCTGAATTTTTCTGATCTCATGCTGGAGGTTTGTATAAATCCCAAAGTTCAGAAATAAAATAATTAAAAAATCTTTTGTTTACGCAAATTAAATTCAATGATTTTAATTATTGACTTAATGAGACGTATCTCACACGGCCACGACGTGATTTTATTTTTTATGTAATAAACGAGGGCACTTCTTCGATTATCGAAATCTCTTTTCTACCAATAAGAGTAATTGGATTAAAAAACAACCAATTATACAATTTAAAGTGTGTAAATGCATTCTTTATTATGACAGCATTATCAACTTGATATTTTGTTTCCAAGCAGAAGGTCAGGTCTTTTTTAAATTATTGCGTAGTCACAAAATTAAAGGCAAATTTGAGCTTCCAGAAATTGCGATATCGATAACTAGCCGGCGCTGGAATTCAAAGATTACAGAAAGTTTTTAAAAAGAAATTATTATTTATCAGTTTTTGAGATTATAGAACTTCCTTAGATAGACAGATCAAGGTTGTCAATTAAAGAGTAAATTAGAGACAAATTCCTTATAGAAATTATTTCAAGTAATAGAAACCAAAGGATATTTTATCCAAAAAATTGGTAGCAGCAAAACATTGATATTTGGTTTCTAATTTTGCAGAGTTTTGTTTCTATATATTGTAAAAAACGCCCCAAGCCATAACTTCATTATTTTTAAAGATATAACAATACTTCTTGGAGCAAAGTTGTACAGTTCATTGTCTTTGATTTATATTGATCGAGCGTCTATCCCAAAAAATTACTTACAATAAACTTTAATCAAAGACGTTTTGTCATATCTTTAATAATAATGATGTTATGGCTTGGGGCGTATTTTATAACCCATCCTGTATATAATGGTTTCGAGATTATTTATATTCTCCTCTAAACAATTTTGTATATTTTCAACGTTGATGGTAGTTCGTTTTTTAAACTAGGATTGCTAATTTATACCACTGATTTTTCAGTATAACGCGCATTATTTTGAATTAAAATAAACTTAATTTGTTGAGATTATATTTTTTGGAAAAACGTGTAATTTAAAAATTTGTGCGTAAATCGGTGCCTACTCATCGCTTCTGTAAACAAAAGTTAAACGTCATTCAAGTAAAGTTCACCGGTTTTCTACAAGTTTGCTTAACGTCTGAACAATGTACAGCGATAAGCTAAATACACCTTTTGGTAATTGACCTATCTAATATTTAATCATGAAAACAATAATAAAGCACTTGATAGCGAAATATTCAGGTGCGTTAATCCGGAATCTCCCGGAACCGTGTTACCTATCTCCGGATAAATCTGCGTTCGATATGTGGTTCATCCCTATTGCGAGTTCCGGGCTGATCGTGCCAGTCACAACTACCAATATTATAATCGACGATATTATTTTGCTAAAAATTTAAATTCGAGCTTTTTTGTTTTGTCGAAGTAAGCACGAAACATACATCGAGATATTTTTTTATTAAATCTATATTATGATACTTTTAAAGTGTTTCACAAATATTGATAACACTTATACGTTATAATGTTAGTAATTTTTTTCTAAATTTGACGATAGGTTTAGCTTATATTATAGTGCATTGAACCATATTTCATAAGATCAGTGATAAGAAATGACGTGTGAAAATTTGATAGTTTTGTATTATTTGGCTATAATTATTCTGTATCTAACGCAATTGCCTAGAATAAGCAACATTTCTGACTTATGTGACGGTCATGTTTAATTTATCTCGTATATCTACTGAGTATCAGAAGTAAAACTTTAAATTTTTTGATTATCAGAAAAAGTCTTTAGCAGTTTTATTATGATTATTACAGTTATAAAGTCACCCGGTATATATATTATATATTATTTTTAATTATTTTTCTTTTATTGTATCTATGTTTTTGACTAAAAATTAAAAAATCAAGTTTCAACTTTAGTAGATAATAATTCTAGAGTAACAAAGAGTTCAAAGGACAAATATAAAAAAGGTGATATGCTTCCAATCACCTCATAAAAGTTTTTATGACACATACATCTTTATTACACAGATTTTTTTTTCAATTTACGTTTGTGAATTATTTTTATTGTCTTGTTCTCACAATATAAGTAACAATAAATAAGCTGTAATGGAAAAAACAATGTTTTTAAATCTCTACTTTAGACTTTTCCATGGAAGGTCGTTTGTAGGTAACCTTGAGACGATTTATTAATAACAGTGATATCAGGTTGTATTTTCACAAAATTTCGAGTGAAATCTTGCCTATGATGAAATTTTTAAATTCCATAATAAGTAAAAAAATAAAGTAATAAAATTATCCGCAGGACCCTGTATAATAATTGAATAAAGACAAATTAAATTTTAAAAAAAGCGTTTTTTTGTATTGGTTTTTACTTTTATTCGGGATTTTGGTAAATAAAATGTTTAAAAGTTTGAATGAATTTTTTTAGTGTAATATCCATCTGTTTAATAAATGAACAATGCTTGAAACATCGTGTTGTTGTTGAAAAAAAGCCTGACCCCTCGCTTATCATTTTAGCGCCTTTAACCCTAAACCATTTTAATCAATATATTATTCTGTACTTAATGAAATAACAAACTTTAAATGTATTTATAGCCACAAGATATGTAGACAGACAATCATCAAACAGGAGAAAATCCGTTATCTCGTTATATAAATCATCTAAACATCTTGAATTTTTTCAAAACACATTGAGCAAATATAAAAAACGAGATTTCAGAAATACAGTATTGCAATTTGTGTTTACCAAAAACAAGTACACGTGTACTTGTTTTTGTTATTTATAAAGTCTTACGGGACTTTGGCACATTAGGTGGTAGCAAAAGGCGTTAAGTTTGGGTTTGTGTGTATCGCAATTTTCAATCAATCGATTCTTTTGACCTGTCATCGCCTAATTAATCACTTTTGCCATTGTCCACGCCAGTTGCTTGAAGACGTCCAAAGCTTTCGCTTATGCAAATGATTCTATTTCGATTGCGGGTTGATTTATTCAATCTGATCACGAAAAATTGAAAGTCGGTATTTTTTTCGGTTCGTGGTTTGAGACAATGAAATTGGGCCATCGGGAGGTAGTTTTTTCCGGGTTGACTGATGAAGAGGGGACGTTTCCATGTCTTCCGGGCTCTCGCGCACCTATTTACGTACCTTCGAACGATTCATTCGTGTTTGAGGGTGGCATAACGTCGCGAACCCACAAACGTGACGCGTCTCCGCCGCCTCCGCGACCACCGCCGCCCCCTGGAAGAGAAACGAAAACGGAAATGCCAAGAGTAAGCCCAAAATACAGCACACAAATTTTGTTTAATAAATCTTTCACACAATTTTACTTTTTATTTATTTTCCTTTTGTTTTTCTATTTAATGAACAGGTAAGTGTCTTTTCATTTGTTTACGAAACAATTTTTTAATAATCAGCTTTGGATTATTTTTTAACGCTGATTTTCTGTAACTATTACTACAATTTACTGACTTATCTCATGAAGCTAGAACGTGGTTTATACTTGTTTTTCTGTAAATTTTTCCATTCAAAATCCACGTGTTTGAGGCCAAAATCGATGCAAATCGAGATTCATCATTCGGCTTCGTCATGACAGAATTTCCCTAAACGTTGACCCATTTCCGGACCGGCTTTTATCAATTTATTTACTTTAAATGACGTTAAACGCTTTTTGTCGCACGTAGACATTATCAAAAATTTCCAATTGCTTCTAAGGCAATCAAACATTTTTGACCAGTTATTACTCGGTTGAATAATAATAACTAAATATTTACTTCATGTCTGGTTTAAATCGAGGATAACCCAAATGGAAAATTTGACAAAAATTGCATTGTGCTATTTTCTTATTGATCCGATAACGGTTTATTGACAAACAAGACTCCAACTGGACGGAAATCCTTGAAAGACCTCAACTATAAATGTTATGTCCAGACGAACAAAGTCCATGTTGTAGGATTTCTAGCACGGGTTTGGTGTCACGTCGTGATTGAAAAAAAAATTCTTATCTCTTCCGCTGAGGATGTGCAGAGAAACGGTGCAGTCAATGATCGGCGAGTGGAATTTTTTGAAATTGGTTTATTAAAATTAGGTTGGTTGAAATTCAAACTTGGTAACCTTTAGGTATATGGGTTGGTAGAGATGTCGACAATTTTGATTTCAAGTACCAACAAAATTAAAGCATATAAATATGATAAAATACGTATCAATTAGAAAAGTTTGATCGATTACGTTATACAGTAAATACAGAGTATTTAACCCGTGTTTAGATTTTTTGATCACCCTATTCCGGTTCAAACCATAATATTTAATAATTTCATTGTAAACATAAGTTGTTATTGAAGTAAATTCTAATCCAAAATATATTAAAACGGTAAATATGTGACGTTTAAAGGCCATTCATTTTTGTCTTGATTCTTTGTTTTTTTGATTTAAAGGTAGATAATTGTAACATTAAATTTAGGTTTTTTGTTATGTCTTAATTTGTTTACTTGTTATCATCATGTCAGAGTTAATTTAGTAAACATATTTATGAAACGCATTTGAAATATATTTTAATCAGGAATTCAGGAATTATCACGTGCTCATCTTCTGCAAAAACACCCAATTTACGAATTTTTGGTCAATCAAAAATCGATGAGATAATCCCAATTAGGATCAAGTCCAAAGAGTATCAATAATAATTACAAAGTGTAAAAATTTATTATCTTTTCGATTACATAAACTTTGGTAATTAAAGTCAAGTAATGAGTTTTTCTCGTTCCTCCCGAAACGCATAAAATTTCTAAATTCCTGAAACGTCCTTTTCATCCGCAACGACACGCAAATGACTCCGCCAGGTACTGAAACCCTGGTCTGAAATTCTGTCGCTGTCCCTCGGATTTTCTTAATTTTAACACGCATTATCACCCAGGTTGAACAACCTTCGTACCTGAATTTTATCAAAAATGGGGCAAGAATGTGCCCTCTGACTCGATCCGAGGCCGAAAAATGTTTATGTTTACAATTAGGATATAATTGCAAATTTATTTATTATCGAGATGGTTATGGCCGGCCAAAGTCCAGGTTTATCTCAACATTTATGATTAATCACCCCGAAAAAAATCCGGGGATTCTCTTCACCTGAAATGCTTTTGCAGCCACCCGTGAAGAAACCCGAGCCCAAAATGAGCGACCGAAGAAGACCCCCGGTTTATAGACCCAAATCACGGACTGATGTAAGTATTTTTCCGGAGCCTTATCAGCGCTCCATTGTTGTTTTCAACGCAATTGGATAATAGTTTCTTGGAAAGAGTTACAAAGTCCGTTTGCTTGTAGTCAAGTAGCAGGGCAGATGGTGGTCGCTTGAGGGGAGACGGCGGCGGAAGCAGCGATGAAGACTCTCGAACCGATCTTCGGCAACGTCTCCAAGAAGAAGCTTCCATCTATCGACGCCGTCTCGACGCCTATCGACAAGCCCAAGCGGATCAAGCGGCGCTAGTTAGTCGATTACAAGCCAAAGTTTTGCAATACAAGCAACGATGTGCCGACCTGGAATCCCAAATGTTGGAAAATCCAAGACACACGACACCGACACAAGTGGCCCCCAGCACGGCCATGGAACAAGCCCAACAACATTTGAGGGAGGTCCGCGAGGAACGAATCACTGATCTTGACACCGCTTTGCGAAGATTAGAAGAAGAAAAACGAAGAAATGACAAGTTGGTCCAGTTAAATACGACTCTGAGAGAACAATTGGAAGAGTCGCACAATACGAACGAAAGCCTGACTGTTGATCTGCAAAAATTGACCAACGAATTTGAAAATCTGAGAGAAGAAATGATCATTAAGGAAGATGAGTGGAAAGATGAAGAACAAGCTTTTAATGATTATTATAGTACTGAACATAATCGACTTTTGAATTTGTGGAGAGACGTCGTGGCGGTAAAACGCTTTTTCATGGAGATACAATCAAGCACTGAACGTGATCTCAATAGCATAAAAAGCGAAGTCAGTTCTTTGGGGAAAGAAATGATGACGGCTTGTTGTAGAATGGACACCAACCTTTTCACCGACTCAATTCTTGGTGTATGACACTTATCCAGCTCAAGATTTTTTCTCTAGCTTGTTTTGTAGGGCAAGGAACGCTACTTGCACCAACAAGAACTTTCCGACTTGAAACACCAACTCGATACATTGAAAATCCAACACGAAAGTTGCCAAAGCGAAATCAAAATCAAAGACGAACGAATTCAACAACTCCTCAAAGACACCCAAAATTTGGTATGATAGGTTGGAGGTTCTCCAGCCTCTCATTGACACAATTGTTGATTTTTAGGAAGAAAGATGTGCCGAAGCCGAACACAACGTGTCCCAAGTAATGAAGGTGCAAGAAGAAATCGACTTGCTTCAAGCAGCTTTACGAGACATCGCACATGCTTTGATTCAAGACGCCGAAACAAAAGACCCTGAATTGAGTACACATATCCACCTTAGTGCTTCCACACCGGTGCCTCAAAAGTGATTTTTCATTGTGTTGATAATAATCGAGTTTAAAAATTGGTTGTAGGTCGCCAAAACGAGGCTTAGGACGTAGTATGACTTCCGCAGCTTTTGCTGAAAGCACAATATCAGCAGTCCAAGCAGCTCTACATAAATATCAATCAATGATACACGAACTACAGGTTGGGTGAAATTTTCATTAGTTGGTGTTTAAATTGGTTTTTAGGTGAAGCTCCAGTCGAATAGGGAGCAACTTTTGCTAGTTCGGAAACAATTTGATCATTCGGAAGAAAACGTAGCAAGTTTAGAGAACAGAGTTAAAGAACTAGTGGCACAACTTGATGCTTGTCGCACACAATGTTCACAACTCAGTCAAGATAAAGATTATCTTCAAAAGAGTTTGGAGAGTTTGAAAATTGAGAAAAATGCCTTAGACCGACAAAGAGTCGAAATAAATTCATTAGTAGAGTCATTAAATTCGGACTATGATAAATTACAAAAGAATAATAATAAATTACAAAGAGAAATAGATGCGTTACAGGATGAAAAAATTTTTCTACAGACTGAAATCGAACGTCTTAATCAGGAAGCCAGTATTAGGGAAATTAATTTGAGAGGAGAGGAAGAAAGGTGTAGTCGCATTAGAGAAGAATTGTTAAGTGCACGTGAAGAATTACACAAATTATATTTATCACACGATATGCTCGAACAACAGAAAGCGGAAGCGGAAAATTTGATCACTAGTTTGGAAAAAGCCAAAAGTGAGTGTGAAATGGAATTGGAGAGAATCCTCGGTGAGAGATCCAACGTTCACGACTCTTTGGTCAAGAAAGAAAACATTGCTGCAAATTTGGAAAGCGACAAAAAGAAACTTTTGGATGATTTGAAGAAGGTTGGGGTAACGTTTTATTACTGTTTGTAATTTCAAAATTTCAGCTCGAGGATGAAAAACTGGCGTTACAAATGCAATCAAACGACCAACAAAACGACATTCAATCCTTACGCAAGGAATTGCTCCAAGCTGAGCAACAAAGACTTGATTTAGAATCTGACAAAGTCTCACTATCAGAAAAATGCAAATTTTTGGAAATCGACAAAAGCAAAGTGGGTAATGTTCGACGTGCATCGTCTTTTTTAAATGATTTTTTCCCCAGATTGAAATGGAGTTGAATCAAGTGATACGCGAACGTAACGATTTAAGTAACCAACTTACCGTCCTAGGGCGCAAAAAAGACGCTCTTAATGACGAATTAGTCCGCACCCGTCAAAAACTCGAACAAGCCAACGAAACCAACGCCCGAGTTAACCGGAATCTTGAAGATCTAGTCCGGGAATGTGAAGAAAAACAGTGTACAATAGACGCGATGGATAAAGATATCCAGAGACTTCAAGAGCAATTGGCTGCGATTCGTTCCGAGAAAGAAGCTTTGGAAGCTGTGCTTTTCGACACTCAGACGAATCTTGAGGCTTCTGAAGCCAAGAAATTCCAGTTGGAAGCCGAGCAACAGGAGCTTTTAGTTAAGCAGGAACAACTTAAAGCCCAGATTGCTCGTCTAACAAAAGATTTGGAAAGGTCGGAAAAACGGTGTCTCGAGGTTAAAAATAGTCTAACCCAACAAGCCGGTAACAAAGAAATGGAGTTTAAGCAAACGGTTGAGAAGTTGAAGATGCAGAATGAAGATAACGTGAAGAAACTGACGGATGAGAGAGAGAAGATTCGGTCTAGTTTGGAGAAGCGGTTGCAGCAGAGTTTGCAACAGTTGACCCATGAAAAAGATGCAGAAATTCAACAGTTGGTTGACAGGATTGAAGCGTTGCAAAATCACATCGAAAATATGGTCCAACAGCATGAGGAGTTGATGCTGAGGGCGGAGAATGACAAGCAAAAGGCTCTCCTCATTGGTAATTTTTTATTTCAATTAAAAAAACATGTTATTCAAATGAGTGTTTGCATTTTCTACATTTTTATTTCGGTTGAATTTATTTTTAAAATGGTCTAAAAATCGTGCTGATTTCATTGATTAAAATAGCTCCATTAGCGTGATATCATCGTAACGATTTGGGAAATGACTTGATTCTAAAATTACCGGTCGCATAAATAATACGTTTTTATCATTTCGCACCGAGCAGATGTGTTTGGAAGAAAATTGTTAAATTAAATATTTGCAATGTATTTAAAGTGAGTTTATTTTCCGCGAAAGCGCATCACGATCAACAAGCATTGCAAGATCGTCTCGAGGATGCGCGCAGAGAATTAAACAATGAAAGAGAAACTTTAGAACGTCTGAAACGAGAAGCAAACGGCCGATTTGAAAAGGACAGGTCGAGCATAAACCAACTCAAGGAAGAACTCAACAAGTATAGAACGAAACTAGAAGAAAGTAAATCAAGATACGAAGAAGAAAAAATTAAACTGGAACAAAGAATCGAAGAAATTAAAATCGAAAGAGACGGACTCCAAACTGAGGTGGAAAACCTCAAAGTCCAGTTGCACCTCACCGAAGATAAAAGTGAAAGTATCAATAATCAACTACACGAAACCATAAGGAAGTTAAAAGAAGGTACGAGTCACAAAACCCGATTTAAATATTGGAAAGTTCTGTTTCAGCCGAAAATAATTCGGAAAGTCTCCGAAAAGAAATCACAGATGTGCGTCGACTCTTAGCCGATAGTAACTTCGAAAAAGAAAAATATCACAACACGAATAAAGAATTGCGAGATCATGTGAAGAAAATCGAAGGGGAAAAACGCGAGCAGAGTCGACAGCTTGAAGAAGCGTTCCAGAAAATCACAAGTAAGTGGCTCACTTTTCAGCTATCGAAATTATCCGGTGTTTAGATCTAGAAGATATCAAATTGTCGGTTGAGAATGAGAAAAACCGGCTCCAAAACCAAATTCGCGACTTAGAAAAGGAGCAGCTCCAGTCTGAACACAAGGCCCAATCAATTTATGAGGAATTGCAACGGGCACAAGCCAGTAATACGCAACAGCAAGCTGAAGAGAAGGAGCTCCAAGCCCGGCTTTTAAATGAAGTGGAGGAGCGCGAAAGAGCTCATCAGGAGATCCACCAACTCAAAAAACAAGTACGTTCTTCAAAAGTGATAAATATTCTAAATTGTTTTCATTATTTTTAATGCTTTTATCTTTTTGATAATTTAAAAAAATAAATAAAAAGTTATTTTCGCGTTGTTAGATGGCAGAATTGGACCGCAATTTGGACCAAACGCGCCAAGAATTGGGGCGCACTCGTACGCACAGTGCCCAATTAGAAGAACAATGGCACGCACGCGAGCAAGACCTTTTGGTCCACTTGGAAGACAGTAGAGCGCGAGAGAAACGCCTCGAAGACCAGAAACATAACCTTGAAGTGTGTCTAGTCGACGCCACTCAACAGATCCAAGAACTGAAAGCGAAACTCGGCGGTGCTGAGGGCCGAATCCGGGCCTTGGAAGCCCAATTAGGCCAATTGGAAGCCACGAAAAGAGACGTCGAGCAAAAATTATTCAGTGTCGTCTCAACTTTAAGACGCATCGCCGGCGTCCAATTGGACGGTTCTGTTACAATGCCTTACCGACTTTTGAGTCCTTCGAGACGTTGGAGTCCGGCTCGAGGTATGAGAAATTTGCTACGAAATGTTATCACAGACTTATCTCATTGTTTATTGTTGTAAACCACAAAACGTGTTATTTCAGGCCATGACGACGGCAGAGACGGAATAGTCGACGTGGATCCAGAAATAGTGAGAAAAGGAGTACGGAATTTGATGCAACAAGTCGCTCAGATCGAACGCGAAAGAGTTAAGACGGTTTAAATTGAGAGTTGAGTATTTGATTGGTTTATTTTAGGACGACTACAAGACTCAAGTCGCCACGATTAAAAAACAATTGCATGAAGCACACGAGAGTCAGACTAAGGGCGACAGTAAGTTGAATAAGGTTTTACAGAGTTTGAGGAGTGTACAAGATGAAAAAGGGAGTCTTGAGGCGAGACTGAGTCAAAAAAGTGTTGAATTGCAATCACAGGTAAGATTTTTTCGAAGTAAAGTCTCGTGTTAATTAGTGTTATAGACCACAGCTTTGCATAAAAAAACGGAAGAGAATCAGCAAATGAGAGATAAAATTGTTTCACTCGAATTAGCGATAAGTAGTGGAAATGAGGAAAAATTACAGTACGAGGACAAAATCGAAAAAATGAAGATGGCGTTAGGCCGACTCGAGGCCGAAAAACGTGGCTTACAAGAAGAGTTGAGTCGGATCGAAAACAGATCGACAAAATTAGAACTGCAAAGAATGTCAACAGAAGGTGACCTCCAAAGATTACAAATGATGCTACAAGAGAAAGATGCAACGATTCAGGTGCAATTTTATCTCGAATCCTCTTTATCTTATCTTTATTTTTAGAAATTGCAAGAGAAATGTGATCATCAGAGTCGGAATTTAGCAAGTTTGGAGGAACGTTGCATGTCACTCAAATCGACAATAGACCAGTTGAATTTATCGCTTGAAAAAGCAGCAGCTGGTGAAAATGAACTCAGATCGGAAATCCAGAGTCTCCAGAGATCACTCCTGGAGACGACATCGTCATCTCAAGCAAGTGCCGAAAAAATGAAACAGGTTTGTTTAACCCGAGTTGCATACTTTTTTTCTCTACTATTAATTCCAGTTGCAAAAATCGTTAGCCAACAGTGAAAACGAGCGAAGAATTCTTTCGGAACGTTTCGAAAGTACTCAACAAAACTTGGCCGAAATGCGCCGAAACCACCAAATTCTACAAGACCAAGTTACGAGATTAAACAACGAATTGGCTAATAACGAAGTCCAGCGTTCGGGTCTTGAGTCACAACTCCGTTTGGCCCAATGGCCGGCCGATGGTACTATTGGTTCCCATCAAGAAGAGGAATTGCACCGACAGTTGCAATCGGTGCAACGGGAACGAAGCGAATTGAGAGGAAAAGTGGACTCTCTTAATAACAAAGTGCGACAACTTGAGGCCGAAAAACGTAACTTTGAACGATCAGTGGCTAAGTCTAGTACCACTACTAGGAAAGAGAAATATGAAATGGATTCGGGTATCACCGAATTGGAACGCTATGAGCAGGAAAACCGGGAATTGCGGCACAAAATCGCGCATCTCGAGGCCGAATTGTCCGAAAAGGAGTCCGAATTGATTCGATTGAGAAGTCAAAGACCGGGGCTTGACTCCAAGTTTGATAGAGCTGAGATTGAGAGGTATAGAGCGGCTCAACTGCAAGCGGAGAGATTGCTGGAGGCGAGAGAGCAGAGTCATCGGCAACAAGTCTCCCGGTTGGAGAATCAGGTAGCAACCATATGAAATTTGCGTTAGATAATTTTTGTGTGTTTAGATTACCCTTTTGAGGGAGCAGTTGAACCAAGAGATAAAAAGAAGGCAACAGTACGTTTTGAGGAGTACGAAAGCAGGGCGAGAGATGCAACAGTTGAGACAAGCGTTGGGTGATTCGTTGCGAACGGTGTCGCAGGACCCATCACTCGATGCTGTTTTGTTAGAACACGAGGCTAGGAAGTTAGATAATACACTATCGACCACTGCCAGTCTGCCTCCGGGGCTTAGTTTACCGTCGACTTCGTATAGGAGGTCGACGACGCCACAACCGAAATAATTCTTTGTTTTTTAACATCGGGGAAGTATTTATTGCACTTTTGTACCAAAGATGATGGATTTGTACACTGCCAATTTATAATTTGCTCAAGGGTAGGAGAACGGATAATGCTTGCGCTGGTCAGAATATGGATTTTTTTGTTGTTTTTTTTAAAAATAAAAGAAGTGTTCAAAATTTGATAGTACACTTAGGTCACACTCATGTAGAGGTTTAGACGTACTTAAATTGTACTTAACCGTCCAGTTTTACGGGGGTCACATTTTGAAAGGAAATACATGTTTGCCGAATTGTTTTTGCAATTTTAAGTGCCCTGTATTGTTCGGAATGTGACACGATTTTTTCCGTCCAACTATGTACTTATGTAACAGTATTTTGTATTGGAGAGTGCTAGGTGAGGTAGATTATTTACTTATTGCTTAAATAAATCATTATTAGACAAACAGTGTTTTTATTATTTTACCTGTTAAAAACAAATAAATAGTTAATCAAAGGGTGTCAGTTTAACAATAAGTTCTTGTTAATAAATGGATACAAAAGCTTCAAACGATAATTTTGAGTATAAATTAATAAAAAAAAAGTTAAGAGGACTTTGTATGTTATTTTCCACCTACTTCCATGAAGCTGCGGTGTCCGAGTGGTTAAGGAGATGGACTTGAAATCCATTGGGTTCTGCCCGCACAGGTTCGAATCCTGTCCGCAGCGTTAACTTTTTTTTATTTCAACGGTTATTTTAAATATGCATCACCACATTTTAAATGCAAATATTTTTTGTTTTAATAGGTTTTAATTGAAATAGTGGATTAAAAACAGATTTTTATTATATCAATCAGATGACATATAAATATCTTCACTGTCGTTATCAACCTCTTCTTCCGAATTGGACTCGAGTTCCATTTTTTCCTGACTTTTTGCCTTCTTCGCTACTTCGTCACCCAATTTCATAACGTATTGTATCGTAAATTTATTAAATTCGCAACTGAAATAAATTAACTAAAAATAAAAAACCGATGAGTCGTCCTTACATTTTTGACATTTGGTCATATTTCCTAACTAAACTCTTCTCCAAAGCTAATAAGTAAGCCATATTTTTTTGAGGGGCAATTTTCGGCCCGTGGATGGTAAGTAACGTCTGAGCCCAAATTAGATAAAATTCCAAATGTCGAGAACTATCTAACGCACTGGAAATAATCACCAGAAGTCTCTGGATGTACTGCTCGCTCAAACTCGATATAATCAGTTCGACTAAAAATAAATATTACAAAAATTTCAATCATTTTGCAAAACTGACCATCCTTGACTGGAATATTTTCCATCACTTCTTGAATTAACGCACTTTCATTCAATTTCATAGCCATGGTAAGTGCTAAAAACAGTAAAGTAAAAATAATCCCTTATTAAAAAATAGTCAACCATTGAGATAATCCCCGTCTCTGATCGAATTTTTCACCGCGTCGGGCGTAATCCCGATTTGCAAATCCCAAGGATCAAACACTAGACCTGAAGTGAGGGAATAAATCAAAAGTCCTTCAGTCGTAGCGGCAGCCCATTGTTGCCCAGTCGGCGAAAATTGCAACGAAAACACTCTCACCTAAACATTTCTCCTATAGCCAAAAATTATAATTAAAAAAATAAAGTATCCACCTCGGGTTTCAAAATCCGACTCGACATATCTCCCTTCCTCACTCCTGGCAATTTTAGAGTCACGTTACCCCCTTCTCGCTCCTCACGTTCTTCCACAAGTGCGACGTTGCCAAATTCGTTCAATTTTCGTCGATTTATGAAATCCTACACAATTTTAATTATTGTTTCAGATGACCAAAAACACTTACATCAACGGCGTCTAATGACCGGTTTTGGGTTATTTCGAATTTTTTGACAATCAGAGACTCAGCCACGTTGTAAATACAAACGTTTTTTGATTGCCCCCCGGCGAGTATGTACTCGCCATCGGCCGAATAACATAAGCTTGTGAAAGCTCTAAAATAAAAAAGTATTAATGTACTGATGTGGTAAGTAGATTATTACTTGGCTTGGAGTGTTTTTCTCGCAGTGATTAGGTCCGTATCTGATCGCCCACTCCCCAAATCATTTCGGCCTTCAATACTGGTCACTTGAATGGCATCCTTAACGTTAAAAATCGAAATCTGGCCGTCTAGTGTGGCAACAGCCACTTCCAGACCATTGGGTTTGAAAGCAACACAAAGACCATCGGCTACCAACTCGATGGTTTCGTGGGCCGAGCCTTTTTCAATAGCGTCCCAGATTCGCAATGTTTTGTCCCATGAAACGGACACCAGACATGTACTGGTGACACTAGGACTGAAAGCTAAACTGGCTACTGGCCCCTCATGACCTGCCAAAATTTCCAAAAGTCGGCCAGTTTTCACAGACCACAGGAAAATCTCGAATACGTCTTGCCCACCCGCAGCCACGAATTCGCCACTGCTATCAACAGCAACTGAGGCGAATTGCACCGGCCTCGGGGACGCGAAAGTGCGAAAATTGCGATAACTGAAAAAAAAAATCAAGAAAAAAATTGGATAAATTGAAGTAATATACCGGATTAGGTCGTAAGCCCTCACAGTTCCATCAAGTGACGCAGAAACGATAAATTTCCGACTACCACTGAAACTGACACAAGTAACAGCACTCGAATGTTCATTAAACGTAACAAAACAAAAGCCGGTGTAAACATTCCAGAGTTTGACTTTACCGTCTTCACCACCAGTAGCCAACAATTGACCATCAACGGAATAACAAACGCAACTCATGTTATTCGAGTGGCTTTGTTGTTTCAAACGGTAAATCTCACCTAAAGTTCAGTCGTTATTGAGTAAAAAAACAAAAGAAAACCGTACTTTGCCATTCCCATACGAGAAGTTGGCCCAGTCCGCCGCACCCTAACGCGATCCAGTCCCCAGTCGAATTAAGACAAATAGCAGAAATTTTCTCCTCCGAGATTGACAATGAATGAATTAAATTCATGTCGGGTAGTTCATGAATGAAAAAAGCCCCGTTTGAAAACCCTGATGAAAAATCGTGAAAAAAATGGTAGTAGAAAAAATACGGTGTAAACCTGTGACCAAAATTTTGCTCTTTTTGTGGTAAGCCGCCGATGTGAGAACAGCCTCGCGGTCTTCTTTCCTGGCCTCATCTGCTAAGTAATGACGTGCTAAGCGTTTGTAAAAAAATTTGTCGTTTTTAACATCCGAATCGTCTTTTTCTTCAACAGCGTTCTCACGATCGGCCTCGCTTGGCTCTATTGCTTTATTTATATCAATGTCGTCCTCTTCTGACTCATGATTATCTTTCTGCAAATCTTAATTGACACAAGTTTTGATGTGATTAAGTTCACCTTTTTCTTTCGCGGGGGTGCTTTATCTAGTGGGACAAGCTTATCGGGGTCTATGCTACACTCCCACACACACGCTTGTCCATTCCTGCTTATTGTAGTAATATCATAGGTGTTTTCCTCAAAGAAACACGCAACAATACTATCAGTGTGATTGCCTAAAGAGAATATCCTGAAGTTGTGCCACCTGTGATTGATTATTTTTTTATCATATTTTTAAAAGAAGAGATTGAAATTTACTTTTCCAGGGGGTAGAGTTTAACAGCCATGTCCTTAGATCCAACTGCTAAAATTCGCGAGTCTGATGACCAATCAAGACAAGTCGTTTCGTCATAAGCCCCGTGAAAAACCCTTTCCATTATGAAAGCGTTATATTCACCTGAGAGTGGACCTGGGGCTTTAAATACAAAAACTGGAATTAAGTAAATAAGTTAAATACGTCAAACTAGTCGAATCTAAAGAAATACCGTTGTTCTCTTTGCAAACAGCAAAATGTTTACCATCTGGGCTAAACTTAACTGCGCGAACTTTCCTCTTAAATCTATATTTATGAACAATTGTTTGTGAAATTAAACTGATCCAGTGGGCTTCACCTTCTTCATTTATGGCAATCAAGGAACACCCATTTGGACTTAAATCTAAAGCGGTGTAATTGAATCTACTCTCGATAGGAAGTGTGGTCACTTTGTCGCTACAAAACGCACAAAATTGATACGAAATTACAGAAATGTTAAGCAGTGTACTTTTTTAAGTCAAAAATGCTAATCCTGTTGCCCACTGGGCTTATTACCGAATTGCCATCCTGCGAAAACAAGAGATTTCCTTTTTTGTAAACGGTTCCCAATAAGTTATTGAACTAAAAAAATATGTTATATATTTATTTTAAATAAAATTGACGCAGTTTAGTTACCTTGTAAGCAAACTTCATTTTTATAAATGTAACACAAGAAAATTATCAAAAAGTTAAGTACTTCTTGGGATGGTTTTTTTGCACGTGTGTTTGATGTAACCTCAAAGCTCGATGTAAACATAACCTTACATAATAAACAATCCAAAATTTTTTCACAAATCGTCAGTAAAGTTTAAAAAATAGTTCATAGGAAGGTAAACGGTAAAAAAGTACTTTTCATGATTCATGAAATTATTCAAAATTAGCCGTAAAGTCATCAACAAAGAGCGAAATTAGCACACATGTAATGTTGGTTGCATAACATTCCAATTTTTTTTAATTGTATTTTTACTCAAATGCAGAATAAGTTCTATATTCGTGTTTTGACAATCAACTTTAGTGTTTTGACAACTATTTATATTATTGTTTTTTTGCAAAGGCATTTTTATATTTTTTCATATGGATTTTGTGTTGAGTAATTCTTATTTTTGGTATCTCTCAAAAAAACATTTATAAATTAGTACATTTATTCAAAACACTGTCACAGATTGGTGTACATACACGAAGAGATATAAAAGGCTACATTTAATGTCATTTTTTAGAATACTGATCCTTTGAAATAAAGCTAGAGTTACAGAATAAAATTGCACTGACATATCTTACAAATTTTAGGCACAAACAGTCCAAAAGATTGCAATTCAAACATGCTAAAAATTTGGACTCAAACCTCTTAAATGTACATACATCAGAAAAAAGTTGACACTATACTTAAGTACCTGCCTTACAATAATCATTTTGTGCTATAATTTACACTTTGTGCATTCATAAAATGAGTAAAAAATAAATATAATAACGAGTATTTTGAGCGGAAATAAAAATTATTGCAAACAAAAATATCACATAATAATCATCTGATATAAAATTTCGTTCGTTTTGGTCGTACACAACCTACGGAAAATTATTTACATCAGGGAAAAAATTAAATATTGCTAATCTCTTACAATTCGTTTTTACAAAATTACACAAATACGAAATCCTATTATTGTAACGTTAATTATTTAAGGAATAGTAGAGTAACCGCTTTACCACGAGTTATACAATACAAAAAAGATCGATATGTGCTTAAATTAGTCGATCGTAAACTATAGGTCATACAGAAGTCTCAGAGTTCAGCCTCAAAACAAACTTATTACTCTTCGGATCAACAACCTCTTCTGTAATATTAAAATGCGGAATCTTTTTAATCGTGCAAAGTAAAGAGACATCATTTTGTCTCAATTGAAAACTCATATTGTCTCCAATAGGTCTCGTCAACAACTCTTCGCAAATCAAGGCCCAAGTTTGCACATCTTTCACTTCTTTATCATTTTGCAAGACCGGCTCACTCACTAAATACTGTTCCAAAAACGCTTTCGGAGTCAAATCATTGCTGAGACAATTGGCTAAATGTGTCAAAATTGACTCAACCGAATGCCTCGGCTGTTGTCTCGTCACTCTCAGATATTTCTGGAGGGCTCGTGCCATAGACGGAAAAATGGCTTGAGCGGCCTCGTGAGGGTCCATCGGGATGGCAGGCACTTGGTCGTTATGTAAGCGTTTAATATGAGTGAACGCTTCTTCAGCGGCTGTTATAAGTCGTGCTCTGCGTTTCTTAACGCGTCTTTCGTATTCATGTTCCTCGTAGAAACGTTCGTTGTGACTCGAATCACGTCGTCGGGCGTGAGCTGCCAACATGGCACGCGATTGGGATTGCTGCAAAGAGGAATTGTTAACACCGTCTACTTCGTAGAATTTGAAACTTGATGAATTTTTTCGCGATTTTGACACTGGGATTCGCTCCAAATACGGATTGTAGATAGGGAACTCAGTGTAATACTTCTCCAAGACCCAAACAGCCGCTCGTTGGATGCTTAACTGGCCAATTGCGTAGGCCCTACTAGCGCCATCTGGACTCCGAACTACCTTTATGTAGTACATAGGTTGTAAATGCCTTATTTCCATTAAAACTACAGCTAAGTAATGTATAAAAAGTAGAGTATCAGTCAGACTTAAAGCGTAAGCGACTAAGGCTTCATAATCAACCGTTTCTTCCGGTGTGGTGGCAGCACGAGCAGTCTCAGTCACCTGGACTATATAAAACAACCAATAGGCAAAAATACACACTAAAACAAACGCCAAAACGGCCGCCCTAAACAGGAAAAACCTCGGTAGGGTCGCATTTGGCTTTCGCAAAAACACAGCCCACGCACCGACTGCCAGAATAGCCATTTTGAACGCTAACGACACTAATTGCCCTTTACATTCCGCCCCGCATGCTAACAATTTCGCACTATCGGCAAGACCTAATCTGGATGAAAGTGCAGGGAAGAACCCTAATTTTGGCAATACGACCATGGCTAAAGGGCTCAAAAAGGCAACTATTGAAAGGATGTAAGTTAGGACGGTCCCCATATATCTTTGGCAGACGAAGGAGAAACCGGTATCGGGTTCACCGGGCCAGTTACTGACGTCTTCGGTCGATTGAGACTGTTCTGAAGTGTTCCCGGTGATGGCAGTGGTGTTTTCGCCCCAGTTGTCGTCCTGAGGGAGAATTTGGACCTCGATGACTTCCTGGCCATCGCGGTTGTCGGGAGTGAGGGTCACGGCGGTTTGAAAGGGGGCCATCTCGTCAGTTTTGCGAGATTTTGAGCTTCTGAAAAAAAAATGTTTTTTCAAATAGTGGTGACTTGTATAGCAGCTTTGATTTTTCAAGATTGTACTAATTTTTTGATTTAAAAAATATAAAACTGGTTGAAATATGAAATTTGGCCAGATTTTGAACTTTTTGTTGTTTGACTTTAGATTCACAAAAAATGGGAATCCGAGTGGTGAAATAATTTTCAATTGTTTATATTAGGATTTTTGGACACTTCCGGCGTGGCTAGAGTTACAAACCTGGTGCTTCTGTGTGAATGCTGTCTGTAGTTATTCCGGTCGCGGTGCCCCCTTGAACGTCTCGATCTTGAACTGTTTTCCGATTTTATGGATTCAGTCTCCATATCTCGTCCAGTTTCGTTTCCCATGTATTTTCCCAAAAACCCGACTTTTTTTACAGGAAACTGTCATGAGTGATCCTTTATCAACACTTTTTCCAGAAATTCTCCTCAAAAAAATTCTAATTATTTCACTAATAAGTTCAATGACTCTTCACGTTGATGACATTTTGTAAACATGTGCATAAAAAATCTAATCAATTTCCGTTATTTGGAGCCTTAGGGCACTTCCGAGTATCGTTTTACTTAAAAGGAAAGCATTTTCTTTGGGTTTGTTTCGTAAGATTTCGTAAATCGTTTACAAACTGCATTTAAATTAGTGCGGTGGCTTGTTTCAGTTTTTCTATTAAATCTGGATCATTTTTCTTGAAGGGTACTTGTAACACACAGCATTTTTTCCACACACATGTAACTAATTTCTTACGACACTTCACACGTGCTTTTTTATTCAAATTTATTCAAAATTTACTAAAAACCAAATCGGATTTTATAAAATGTAAACGCCTACGTTTAGGAGCAATTTAATTGCCCCATAAATTATGGTTGCAACATGGCTACCGTATAAACTAAAAACACTAAATAGAGCAATCCTTTCCTGTGCATTTCCATTAAACGAACCCAAACAGGAAACAAATAGACCTAATTTTGGGTCTGGAAATCAAATTTTAGTTTGGAAAAAATCAAAATTCTCCCGTTTTTGCAAAATTGACAAAAACTTCTATAGTTTTTTTCTTTCTATCAAGTTTGTGACATGTTGCTGCGTCACGTGACCATGACAAAGTGACATTTCTCAAATTCCGGATATATGTTTACCAAAAATGGCAAGTGATTCGAAAAAGAAGTCGTCCAAAGGGCTCACACCTGAGGAAATCCTCAACGGATTTCAAGCACTAAGGGCTGAGCAGCGCAATCTTTCATCAAAACTCACGGAATTCGAAGCCGATTCCAACGAACACAAGTAAGTTTTTGACTCGATTGTGGCCCTAAAATTGGGGCTGTGGAGAGCAAGTCCATGTCAAACTACCCATAATTGTGTAAATGATCATTTTTACAGTTGAAATCTGATGTTGGATAGCGCTATTTGTATGAAATTTAATATAACCTCACTTTTACAGAATGGTGATCGCAACTTTGCAAAACGTGAACGAAGATCGGCGTTGCTTTAGACTAGTCGGAGGTGTCTTAACTGAAAGAAAAGTGAAAGACGTTCTGCCGGCACTTGTTTCAAATTTGGAAAAACTCAAAGAACTTATTGAAAAATTAAAAGAACAAATCACAAAGAAAGGTGTGGAGATCAATGAATACAGGGAAAAATATAATATTAGCTTTAGAGGATTGGATAATCCGACTCCGAAACAAGAGGAACAAGTGGCGGCTTCAGAGAGTAGAGGAAACGTTTTAGTGTCTTAAATCTGCATGTGCTTTTTTTATTTACACCTAAGCTAGGATTTTTCTTTTGTAGAATATTTATTTTATGTATCTCATTCGAATTTTGTCGGCATTTAACAGTTTCATCTTTTTCTATGAGAGCTGTGCTGGTTTTTTGCAAGATAATGTAACATTTGAATAAAAATTTAATTTGTAAGTTCTTTTTTTAATTTGCCTCTCTTTAAGCACCTAACAAGAAGATTATATAAACAATTTATATCGCCGTAGTCAAAAAAAAAAATACAAAAAATTGCTTCAAAGGACACAGTTTGTTTTGAGCGTATTATTGGTTGCCTACTCAAAGCCATTAAATTACTTTAAAATTGGAGTAAAAATTAAATCTATAAAATTTTAATAAGTTTATAATGGCACTTCATGTTATAACAAATTAAAAGTAGATTGGTGATTAATTATACAATGCAAAAATTACAATATTTTTATCTTTGAAAATAAAGCATCCAAATAAACTTTCGTTAGGTAGATAAGTAAATAATAAACCAATTATTTATTAGATCTTATTTACTCTAGATATCAGTAGCGAGTAGGTATGTGGAGTGATTCAGTTTAGAAAAAACACTATGATAATTTAGTTGATAAGGATTTTCCTCTAGTTCAAGTGAAATATGTTTAAGTTTAGTTTTCTTTTTGTTTTTTTCGTACTATTTTACTACAACGAAGCTTTAAACCAATTATGTTCAGTGAGAAAAGAAGAGAAAAATTGTATCTGTAAACGCATCACCGACAACGAAGATTTAATTGCTACAGAAGCTGACTGTGTAAGAACAAATTTCGACTATTTCCCAACTTCAGACCAACTACCTGAAGATTTAAACCTCCTAGACTTATCACACAATTCACTTACAAAATTAGACGCAACAGAAACGCAATTTTCAAGTGTGACCTTAGAAACGTTGAAATTATCTTACAATGCAATTAATTTTATCAGTTATGGATTCTTCGCCACTATTCCCAACCTAAGAAGATTAGATTTGAGTCACAACAACATTACAAGTCTTGACAGTGACGAAATTTTTCAAAGAAACCCAAAAATTACTCATTTGGATTTGAGTTTCAATCATATTCATACGATACAAGCCGCGACTTTCTTGCCACTTGTCGAATTACAAGTTTTGGATTTGAGTTACAATGACCATTCTCTCGGAGAGTGGCTAAGTCAAGTCCCGATTTTATCCGACTCCGGATTGGACATAAATCTCAATATTATGACTCTTAACCTCGACAATATTGGCCTCAAAGACGTGAAAAATGTATTTTTCAGTAACTACACATATTTGACGCATTTATCTTTGGCCGATAATCTATTTACTGAAGTCCCTCGAGTTCCATACAGTCTTGAGTATTTGGACTTGTCTGGGTCAGACATTTCAGTACTCCAAGCCAAACATTTAAGTTATCACTCACTCAAAGTTTTGAAACTCGAACGATTGAAAATGCTTGAGACTATCCACCACTATGCCTTCTACAATTTGGAAGCACTTGAGGAATTGTCGGTGAAGCACTGTCACAATTTAAGGGAGTTTAACGAATTGGTTTTTGGAGCCTTGCAAAAAAATGAAGTAACGAATTTGAGAAAGTTGTCTTTGGCTGGGAATGGCTTACAGAGTTTGAACTCGACATATAAGTACCTTTTCCGAAAATTGGACTTTATTGATTTGACGGATAACCCGTGGAAATGCGACTGTGATCTATTGTGGTTGCAAGAATTTGACAATTTGTACAGAAGCGAGAACGTCAAGTGAGTCACTCCAAACTTGGATTTTTGTCCTAAAAATTATTTCCAGGTGTTCTTCCCCATTATCTCTCCGCTCCAAACAACTCTTCGACGTGACCGACCAAAACGTCCCAACTTGCTACCCCCAAAAATACGGCAAAAAGTCCCACCGAGTCCTCATCGCCTTTTTAATACTCCTCGTCCTAATTCTCGCAGCTCTGGTCGGCTATTTATTTTACTATTCTCCGAATTGGTGGTCCGGAAACAGGTCTCGAGGAATCGGCCCTCAGTCGCCCTACAGCACGACAAGAATAGGCGACGAATGACTTAACATTTGTTAACAAATTTAATAAAATTATTTCACGTTTTGCTGATATGTAATTCGGGCGGTGTATCACAAGTCCCGGTCAATCGTTTTGAATGTAAATGGGACAAAGCGATTACCATCCACCCTTCCCTATTGAGTTTTTCTGCATCACCGACTTCTGTCTATGCACACAAAATCTAACAGAGCGAAAAATAATTGATAACTATTTTATATCGATTCATTATTTTGGATTTATTTCAGGCAGCGACGTTTTAATGCGCTCGACGAATTCAAATAATTATTATAGTACAAAGGCTAAAATAACAAATCTAAAAAAGCAACGAAATATTCAGTTCTAGGCTAATTTCCCGACTTGGTTTTAAATAAAAAAATATGCACTGGAAATATTTACGAAGGGGTTAGGGGTCCGGACTTCCATGGTATAGGTATTTTTGGTTCAGTTTTCCAGAAATAGCAAATGATTTTTGTAGAGTATTCCACACATTTTTTTCTCTGACAGTTTTTATAAAATAAGTATTGAAATTTATTTATGTACATATAATGAATACATACATACCTACATATACCGGGTGGGGCATCGGTTACGCGCACTTGATAAATCGCGACTTCAAATTAATTAAAACTGGCGATATTTCATACCTAACTAATTATTGATAGAGAAATTGTCCATTTTTTTGGATAATAAATGAGTCCGTAACAGTTTTGTGTGTTCTATGAATACTTTCTGTTAATTTACCTATAAAGTTTTTACACTAAATGAATCTGTACCTGTCAGCGCATCAAACTTTGATATCACAATTTCAAATTTTGACTTGGTTAGCCAAATAATCGCTTTTTTTATTTAAACACTAACCAGACCCCTGATTTATAACAAAATGGTAATATTTGCCAACAAAAGAATCGACCGTTTTAAAGGGTCTTTTTGTTGTAAACCTTGGAATCTTATCCCAATTGCAGTTCCCCATTGTCACCTAAATTTACGATGGCACAAGTAGCAGGTCATAAATGAAAATGATTTTCAATGTTAAGATGGAAAATTGCGTTTAATTCAAAATCTAATTGGTATTTTTTTTCTAATTTTGTAAACAATTGTAGGAAGTGAATCTGCGTAGGTCAGTATAAAAATTAGAATTAAATTTTTTGAGAGAAAACTACTTTTTATTTTTTTTTGGCTTTGTTTGTGAATGAAAAATTACCAAAAAATTAGAGAATGTACCTTACTAATGCCCAGGTAAGTGTGAAAAAAATCAACAATTTTATTTAATTAGAAGTGGGGATTTTCTTTTTGGGCGTAACGGATGCCCCACCCGTACAACTAAAAGTCAGAAAAATACTACAAGAAACTACATAATAAAATTATGTATACATCACAGGGTGAACAATAACTGGTTTCATTAATTTACTGAAAAATCATCTTACTTTGAGTTTCGTGTTTAAAAAAAATTCTTGATTAATTGACGGGTAGATATGTACTAATTTTGATCAAATGAGTGGATGTTTCAAAGTTCTGTCGCAAAATGTAAAACCAATTTTTATTTAATATGTTTTCAAAGAAGTGCAGTGAGCTTTCCGGCTTAAACCGTAGCGTGAATTAAATGCTTTTTAGATCATCCCCCTCTGCATTTAACACATCACTTTAAGCTCATAATACCGTATGCAACTAAACAAGAATCACCCCCTGATTTTTTTAGTTTGTATGCAGTAATAGGATTGAATCATGTATGTTTTGTTACAATTACCAATTTACCAGATGTAAATAGGATATATTTATGTTTTCGGGGATGACATGATGTAATCCTTGAATGAATCAATAAAACGTAGCGGAAAACAGAACAAAATCGATACTGACCAAAGAGCACTTCTTGATGAAAGAAACTTTATAAATAGATCAGACATCTTGTTCATGGTTATCTGAAACCTGAAGAACCCTTTATGTGTCCATATTTCATAAATACGTATTGAAAATCGGGACAAAAGCGGTTATGAACACAGATTGGAGATAAATCTGAGTGTACAGTTTCCGAAATGTAATATTTTGGCGAATTGTGGTTATTAAAAACAAGTTCACAAGACAGATAAAATCTTTTGCCATTATCAACAGTCTTTTGTTTTTTTTCTCAGTAAGATAAACATGAAACGCTTCAAATAATAGACCGAAACCGTAACAATAAATACTTCCTTTGGCAGGAACGAGCTTTCTAATGTCGAATCCCTCATTTAGTGGCGATGGTCCCAAAGATAGGAAAAAGCGTCGTTCATTTTGTACATCAATTAAAACACACTCGGTGTGACAATAGATGTCGAAATGACGACGTGTGATAATACGCGATAATAAAGACACTTAACAATCGTATCGACCATCTCTATGGCAGACGGATTCACTAATGTCATCTGCCAATGGGTTTTGGGTTTCCTACCGTTGCACGAGGGGAAGACCAAAGATAACCCACGTTTCGAGTTGTGCAGCGGTAAATGACGACTGATTACGATCTAGCATTTTATTGTTGCAGAGGTGTGAGGGAAAGATCAACAAGATTAAAGAGCTATAAGTTTATTGAAAACACTACAGAGTGCTCCAGAACTATTCCAACCACAAGACTAAATCATATGAAGAATTAAGAATCAATCAAAACTTTTGAAAATGTTTTAAAAAAAATTAAACATTTTTTTTGTTAAGAACATGTAGAGAAGTTTAGCTATAATAATGAGATTTTTTTTTAATGACAAACTAGGGTTCCTTATTCCTTGAATTTTTAGACGAATGTTTTTTTAAAAATATGAAAAAAATAAAAATGACCAAGTTCTGCAAATTCCATTATGAAACAAACACAAAAAGTAGGTATATAGCATAAAAGAACTAATATACAACAAAAATAGTAACAGATGAATAAAGAAAAATACCAACGTTGATTTTCTAATAACATAAATTCAGCATTAGAAAAAGCTTTATTTTTATTGTTGCTTCAACAAAGAGCAAGAGAAATTTTGACAGAAAAAAAAAACACACCTTAAAGTAGAAAAAAATTGAGGTGTTTTTTCTAGACTTTATGGTTATATTTAAGTTTTGTATAATTTTTGTGATGCTTTTTGTATAAATAAATATTTCATTCAATAAGCGTTTTTTTTTGCCTTTCTTATAAAAAATAATGAATTCCAAATCCGAACACATTATGCTGCATTAGTTCGGATTAGAGAGGTCGCACTGTATTATCTACTGATTTTATTAAATTTGCCAATAGCATTATACTTAAAACTTTTTTTTGAAGAATAAAACCCTTTATGCATACTATGCATTTGCTATCTCTGTTGTGAATTGTCGAAATGGGCTGATAAATATTATCAAATCAAAAAAAAAAGTTGGTGAGGATGAGACTTTTTTGTGTTTGTTTGAAGACTTTATTAATTTTGTGATGTTTTGTCAGTGGCTTACAACTGTTGTGTTATTAAATATATCCATGGCGTGTAGATGGCCCATGGTGAATGGTGCACATGGAGCCTCGGTGTCAATCATCTCTGTAAATCCGCTTTCTCTATTGTGGTTTGTCAGATTAGTCCGGCACACCCTCCTCAAATCGAAGCTAAAATATGTAGCGTGTACGGACCTTATGCACTGTTGTTTGCATGTTTGTGTTGCAAAGCTTCTTAGTGATGCGATTAAAAAGGTACAGAACGGAAACACGGCTCTAATCCTCTCGGATTTCCCCCCTGATTTTCGAAAAATTTCACTCTTGGTCGATTTTTTAAGACGAGTAGTCGTTGTAACCGAATTCGTCAACCCTATACCAAATAAAAGCCGAACGAGCGAGCAACAGGGTATAAAATCAATATTATTCGCATCAAAGATCAAATTTAGCCTGTAATCGGCCACCTTATTAGCAGGCGGCTCATTTTCCATGGCTTTCTCTAATTTCAAGCGCGCCTGTCTGAGCGCATCGGCCCCCGCGTACGATACTCCTTTGTTACCGAATTATCACAGGTAACTTGATAGCCAGATTGCAACATTTGGGTTACTAACAAAGTTCAGTCAGAGATGCGTTCGTAATTTTTCTGGCAATTTTGTTTACTGTTTTATTAATATTAAAATCGAGAGGATCCGATTTCAAAACCAGAAAAAAGGGACCGCACTGATCGCGGATGCTACGGAATCACCGGATGAGATATAGACACTTTACGTAACAGAAAAAAACTAATGCGAAACAGGTGGGTAAATCGTGAAGGTCTTTCAGTTTTTAAGGGTGACATTGTTCCAGTAAAGAGTGGGTGACAATTCTGGGAATCAATGTTGTTAAAAAAGCAGATATTTTATTATTTAAACAAAATGTGATTGTAAATAAAATAGCATAGACAGAAATCTTTCTGGGAGTTTTAGTACACCTAAAATAAACTAGCTTGCCTCTAGGACAAATATCATCTTGAGTCTCCGGGGTAATAAAGTATTTCCCAACTTGATTGTAATATACTATTTATTGTAATTTTCTCATATCACTTTTTAAACATTGTGTGCAACATTTTTTTTTACAGTTTTTATCTTCTCTTAACCCTTTGAATCATTAATGGTGCTGGTGATACCACCTTTATAAAATATCTTCAGGCTGCAACAGAGTAAAAATCATAAGCGTTCGGGTTTTAAAGGACTCACAATTCTTGATCGTTATTAAACTTCTGCCTCGATTTTCATGATTTCATGCGTTTTACTTGCTGTAATTGTCTTGATTTGTTAATTGAGTTTTAGATGGGGTTGCGTCTGAGATCATAAAAAACTTTTGCTCTATTAAAAAAAGTTTTCAAACATGTTTCCTATATATTTTTTCAAAATTGTTTAAATTTGTTTTCACTGTGGTCTAAAATTATCAAATAAATATTTATTTTGTTTCTCAAATTACTTTATTGCTACTTTACCGCTCTACTGTTTGTACATACTTTAGTACAAACACAAACTCTTCTTAATTTTGTCCAAAAACAAAAAAAAAAAACTGTGGTCAAATCTTGTCTAATTCGAAATGTGTAAAAATTATAGAGGGCTCGCGGCTTTGCCGCTCG